TCCAATCAAAGTCCTCAGGCCCCCATCTTCACATCAGAGTCCTCAGACCCCACTTCACATCAGAGTCCCCCCTTCACATCAGAGTCCTCAGTCCCCCCTTCACATCAGAATTCCCCTTTCACATCAGAGTCCTCAGTCCCCACTTCACATCAGAATTCCCCTTTCACATCAGAGTCCTCAGTCCCCCTTCACATCAGAGGTTCCCTTTCACATCAGAATCATGTGCACCTCAGTAGTGTCATACAGTCGCTGAGATCACTTGTAAGCAGCCTGCTTGTAAGTCCCCCTGACTCCCCCCCTGCTGTGGTTTTTGGGATCCCCCGCTGTTCTGGGGGACCTGGGACCAGGGCAAATGCCTTTAGGATGGAGTGCAGGGAGCAGACCCCAGCAGCCTTCCTTTCTCAGCCGCACAGAGATCGAGCACAATGCTGTCCATAAATGCTCTCCATAAAGAGAGCCTGTCACCTCCAAACGCTATCACATAGGGGATTCTTAGCCCTTGTGTGATAGCAATAAAGTTAAGTGGAAAAAACTACACAAAATTTTTAAATAAAAATGAAAATTGTTTTTTAAAACAAACCCCGCTACCCCTGACATCTGCATGCGAATAAACACACACATAGTTCCACTGTGTGCCATATTGTAGTGTAGTGCTCTCTAACATGCACAATGTGCATTCAAGGTAAAGTTTACTTTCCCAACTAGTTTGGGAAAAGGGAATTACCTGCCAAAATCTGGCCCCCTCTCCTTTCCGTTATCCTTACCTTTCAGCGAACGGTTCTTCCCCTCTGCCGGTACGGGTGTACTAACCGTACACCCGTACTGCCGTCCAGCGCAGCCTTTCGCAATGGATTTTGAATTTTGCTTGCAAATTGCGGGCACTTATTGGTCAGCGCAGTCAGATTTTAGCTTTAATGTCACTTTAATTGCTCGTTTTGTCTACATTGTAAAGAAGTTTTTGGCTGAGGTTAACTGCTGATATCAGGTTAGGTGTTGCAGGGTAAGTTTAAAGGTCAAATTAAAGGTTACATGTTAAGTGGTGGGAGCTAACTATTAAGGATTACCCCAGAGAAAAATCATTTTGGATAGAGGAGGAGAAGGGTTGGAATCTCTGTTATGTTGTTAATTGCTTTTCTGTAGGATTGACTTGAAGCGCCCCCTTGTGGCCCTTTAACCAACCCACATTCTCCTTATCTATGGGGAATTGAACACAGGCAACCCATCCCTCCAAAAGTGCACATATGCTTTTATTTCTGTCTGTGTGGAAGAGTCACGCTTCTTTTCTAAAATTCTAAATTCTATATGGGGATATCAACCTATCCTCATATCACAGAAAGTTTGAAGGACCCTATTCTTTCCATGATGTTGCTGTGAACCACGCGTGCTGTCAAACCGTGGATCATCTTGAACAGCTGTAGCTGTGTCTATTGATCCCTGTTATTGTTATTCATGCCAACTTAATAAAAATAATCTTAAACATGAATCTACAATTTTACAGATGTCATTGGAACAGAATATCTTCTCTAAGGCCTGGTTCACACCTAGACGTTTTATCGCACGGATTCAGTCACGCTATAACGCACAAAACACAAAAACCCATGCAAGTCAATGGCGACAGTTCACACCTAAGTATTATATCGCACATGCAAAAAGATGCAGGAGCTATTTTTAGGCGTGGTTTTCCTCCCATAGACATCTCTATGCGTTGAGAACTGCGTGGTTTTCCGAGCAAAATTGCGCAAAAGAAAACTTGACAAACGTGCAAAAACAGCTCAACAACCGCAAACCTGGCCTTATCCTGTCATGTCACTGGGAGATGAGATGAGAAGTAATCTCTGCAGTGGAGAGACAGACAGCAATACAAACCTGGCAGAGCTTCTAACCATTCCCTACTCCATCCATAACTATAAATTAAAACGACATTAGGTGGAGTTCCACCATATGTTTTTTTTTTTTTTTGCTGAAACTCTAACACCAACAACTATTGCCCCAGTTATGTATATTATCATACTGCAGTAAGCTGCCTACATTTCACTGGGAGGGAGTGGCTAGATGTATATAACTGCTGCTGAAACTCCGGGGTTCCCAGATCCCGATACATACTGGTACTGGAGGTTGGCCTGCTATCACTTCATCAGGCTAGCTCAACAGTAATGCAATATTGAAAGGTTTTCACTTTAATGAGCATTTGGAAGCACTGATCCTATAGAGCAGGAGTAGTAGGTAAACTGTGGCCCTTCAGCTGTGGTGAAAATACAAATCCCATCATGCATCTGCCTCTGGGAGTCATGCCTGTGGCTGTCACAGTCTTGCAATGCCTCATGGGATTTGTAGTTGCACCACAGCTGGGGGTGGGGACTGGAGCTTTCCTACCCCTGCTGTAGAGGATTTTCAGTGAGCTAGTAAGCTGGTACAGATCTATTTACCTGTAGGGAAAATGGTAAACAAATGTATCCATGGAGGCTGGAGAGAAGTTTATGGTTCTTTCTAGCAGCTCACTGATGCCACTTGTCAATCTCATTGAGATATTTCTCCGTCACTGACTAGCAATTCTCATTCATTCTAGTTGGCTGGTGTATGTAAATATGATCAATTGAAGCAAATGGCAACCACACACACATCAATGTACAACTAGCTTTTAAACCTGTTTTTATTTAACCCCAATAGTTAGACAGTGCAATGTGGTTTTTGCAGGCTAGCTGGTAAGTGTGCTGGCAAATTTTTGTGTTTGTACTAAATAAGATTAAGGTCACAGGCTCACTGTCTAGTGATACAGAATACAAATTGCTCCTAAAACAGTCATATAGGATATCCCATTCCCAAACTGTGCACACATTCATTTTACCCAAATGTATTCACCTATTGTTACATAGTTACATAGTATTTGAGGTTGAATAAAGACATTAGTCCATCAAGTCCAACCTATTAGGATCTCATTCTAGGAGTACCCGTACCCCTGTATATTACGGTCCCTTAAGAAATCGTCCAAAAGTTTCTTGAACAATTCCACATTATTTGCTGAAATCACCGCCTGTGGCAGTGAGTTCCAGACCCTAACTGATCTTACTGTGAAGAACCCCCTTCGCCCCTTGTGCTGGAATTTTTTTTCCACCAATTTTAGGTGATGGCCTCTAGTTTTTGTAACGGAGTTAATTTTAAACAGTTTATCGCTAATGTTGCTGCCACCATTGAACATTTTGTACATGGAAATCATATCCCCCCTTAATCTCCTCACCTCTAATGTGAACATGTTTAAATTTAGTAGCCTCGTCTCGTAGCTCTGGTCCTCCATACCCCTAATTAGTTTGGTTGCCCTCCGCTGGACTTTTTCCAACTCAAGGACATCTTTTCTTAGTACTGGTGACCAGAACTGGACCGCGTACTCCAGATAAGGTCGAACCAATGATCTATAAAGTGGCAAAATTATAGACTTGTCCCTGCGATACATCCCCTTCTTAATACAGGACAAGACCCTGCTAGCTTTGTTTACAGCAGCCTGGCACTGCAAACTACCTTTCAGTTTGTGGTCTACAATGACCCCCAAATCCTTCTCCATTTCTGACTTCCCCAGCGGCATATTGCTTTTTAAATAAACCATTGAGTAACTAGAGAGTACTGGGCCCCTGGTGCACCCAGGCCCAGGGCTGTCTTTAATGTGGGGCAAAAGGAGCAGTTGGCCCAGGCCAAGCCAAAGCAGCTGCCCCTTCAGCCAGCAAAAGATACACAGGCGGCACCACTGGTGGAACTACCAGGGTCGCAGTGGTCACATGCATGACCGGGCCACTTGGGGAGGGGGGGGGGGGGGGGGAGAAAGAAGGATAGATGGATGGAGAGAAGGATGAATGGAAGGATAGAGAAAAAGTTGGATGGATGGATAGAGAGAAGGAAGGATGAATTGAGGGGGGGGGGGCGGAAGAAAGATCCCTTTGCCAAGAAGCGGGTGCTGGAGGGCATCATTGAGCACTACCAGCAGAGCAAGGCGGCCACCCTCCGCGCTGCCAAAAAGAGCCCCAAGGCGCCGATCATGTGTGAGCAGCGCAACGTGTTCTACTGGGAGGTGTGACGCCTGCGCTGCCATTTGCACCGGGGGGGGGCTTGATGGTTTCTTCAACCAGGGCCCTGAGGTTTCTAGTTGTGCCTCTGCAGGGCACCGTTCTGTTTACTATGTGATCAGCATCACACATATTTTTGCTCCTCCCCTGCCGTATGCTGCATAGTGTGACTGCCTGACATCTCATTTGGGTTCATGTCTCCCTCTGACGTAGAGAATGAAATTTCAATCCCGGGGTGGGGCAAGGGGTTTGGGTCGGCCCAGGGTCTAATCAATATTAAAGATGGCCCTGTCCAGGCCCCATGACATGGTCTGCTATGGCTTTGTCAGTAATCATGATGCAAGCTTTGGAATACTTACCTGGCTGCTGTGCTCAGCTTGATTCAGAAGCTGGTTATGATGTCACTGACAGACAGGATGTCTCAGTCAGCAGATCTCACCACTGGAATAGCTGTGCAGCAATGATATGACCCAGAGTGTTTATTCCCACCACAGATTCCACTCTGCATTGTCATATAGCAGATTAGTGGCCGTATGTTTCTTCATCAGTTTTCTGTCACATTTGTGTAAATATTCATTTATGTCAATTTTCTGTAATTCATGAAACTTTGTGCACATTCATTGTACTTGCCTTATAACTGAAACAAATGACGTGTCATCTAGGTTGGCCGCCACTAAAGGCACTAGGATTGTCAAGCGGGAATACCTGAAAGTAAATGTCATGAACACATGGTATGTATATTCATGAACACTGTGTAGTTAATACATCACATGTGACTTCTAAAATGTTCTGTTTCCCAGTGACCCTCCTGCTTGTCCTGTTAGGTGATAGGTTGTATCAACATTCTGACCCGAGTGAACAAGTCATCAGCATTACAGCTGATTGTGCTTCCACCGCCCCTGCCCCCTGGTACTTGTTATTGCTGGCTTAGCCTCAGTTAGGTACCTCAGCCCTCAAAGTTAATCACTGAAAATATCCCAAGTGTTTTTACCTTCACTCAGCTTGCACCTTGTAGGCAGTGGCTGTAGCCTGTAGCCTTTTCACTGCCTGGGGTGGCGGGGGGGCAGGTTTGATTGGATGTGCTTGTGATACTTGGTGGGAAAACCCGCCAGTGTCCCGCTCAGCTTCTGGTGACGTCACTGGCTGCCAGTAGCTTAGTGGGTCGCTGGCCAGAGCGCCCCAGGTTGTTAAGAGCTGGGCAGGCAGATGTGTATGACCCTTACACTCTTAGCAACCTTGGACACTCGGGCTGGAAAGGCCCCCCATGTGACCCAAAGAGATGCTGCCTGAGGCAACAGCCTCAGACTTCCTTTGGCACCGGATAGGGCAAGTCCACCCATAATGAATTTCTAAAGTCTTTGTGATGAAGGACACAGCCTCACTGTTTGGTGATACAGAATACCAAATGCTCCCAAAGCAACGCAATAAACCACTGTGTAGCTAATACTGGGCCCCTGATGCTTCCAGGCCCCATGACAGTTGCATGGCCTGCTATGGCTATAGTTATGCCCTTGTCTGTATATATTATTATTATTATACAGGATTAATATAGCGCCAACAGTTTGCACAGCGCTTTACAATATAAGGAAGACATTACAATATATGGTGCAAGTTTTCGAAAACTTCATCACTGAAAATATCCCAAGTGCCTTTGGTTTCACTCAGCTTCTGCCCTGGAGTCATTGTCACATTGGTTCTATCTTTATTCGAGCTCTGGCACCAGATAGGGTAACTCCACTCATAAGGAATATCTAAGTCTTTGTGATCAAGGTCACCGCATCACTGACTAGTAATAAAGAACACCAATTGCTGCCAAAGCAATTATATAAAACAAATGCCCAAATGTTTTTTCATGATGCTTTTGTTGTTTTGGAGTCCTGTCACCTGTCCTGAAGTAGGGAGAGGATTATATCTCACTGAGATGCGGGCTCCATAATGTAGGAGTGCCTAGTGTCCTGAAGAAAATGCTTCTTACAGAAGGATGTATTTGTTTGTGTGTGTTTTTCCTTTAAATGCGTCCTTTATTTAATATCATGCTCTGTGTGCTTTCAGCCGGAAGATTATGCAGTACATTTTGCAGCAGGTCCCTCCACCATACCATGGCTGTCCCATCCCGCGGCTGTCACTGTATCTGTCAGCACAGCTCAGCTATGGAGTGGTTTGTGTCTACCACCGCCAATGTGACCTACTTATAGGTAACTGTTCTTCGCAATGTGTACATAACAAATAATGGAAGAATTAATGGAAGAATTAGCTGTTTGTAGAAGGAGGTATTATTTATGAAAAGTCATGGTTCGTGCTTTGCCTTTCAGCCACCAAAGTGAAGACGTGGACGTAGGGTGACACAGCTCTGTCAGGCGTTATTTAGTTATGGCATACCAAAGAGCCATGATGATGTGAAGAATCTAGTAATCTATAGCAACTAATCAGATTTATGGATCACGCCATTTAGGTGATTTTCTTACTGGTTGCTATGGGACTACACTTTGCACATCATCACTGCTAATTATACTGTTATATAGCATAAGTCTGTATCAGCTATTTTTGGTTGTAACATCCAACAGGGTTAACTTACTTTTTTTTTTTTTAAATGTGTATATAAAAAGCTGCTTACATTGATTTCAATAAACAACCGGTTTACATGGATATCAGCATGCACAACAACTTCATTAATGCCCCCTATCACAATGGTGGCTGGTATGGCCCACTCTCAAGCTGGCCATACAATGCTCATGAATTTGGAGGAATTGTGTGCCAATCTTTGTAAACATGGGCTAAGGAACTTGATAGTTAGGTGTCACTGTTTCAGGAAGACCCAGTTTGTAAGTTATTACTGGCTGACACAGCATTTAAGCCATCCTCCAGTTGTATTTCTCCATAGACTGTGATGGGGACATTGTCCTTTGCACTCTGAAAGGTGAATGTAACCAGCATGATGTTTGACCTTTTCTGAGTGATCAGAACCACCTGTTGACCCTGAAGTATTATACAAATATTGTTCCAATTCTTCCTTTCTATTTACTCCTGCTATCTCCTAATCTTTCAGAGGAAATGAAGGTTACCCTGGAACGCTTGTATAAATCTGAGAATCAGCTGAAAATCGATTTGCTGCAACCGGATCAGTACGTATCTCTTACTGTACACATTTTTCTGTCTGCTATGGTTTTGAAGGTCTATCTTTTCACATCTATTCACAATAGCATGACTAGAATATAGTCAATACACCGTACAGCCTTGTAATACTATCTGGACAAACAAATGCAATCCATTATCACAAGGAGAGGGCTTTTCCCTATGTACTTTATATGTTGACCTGTGCAGTCTGGAGATAAGGCAAACATTCATTGTAAATAATAATACAGAAAGACAAATGCTTTTGCTCATTTGTGCATATAGCTGAACAATAACCCATAGATCATGAAGGTTCCCAGAAGAAACCTGACCCAATTCACTTCTTAACAAGGGAGGTAGCAACATGATGTGCAAAGCGCAGTAAAACATAATATTTAGCTTTAAAGCAACCCTATCAGGTTAAAAAAGAAAGGCAATCCAGATCAAAGGCCCCTGTAATAAACAAGCTTTTATACCCCCCTGTCTGGCTGCTTTTGCTTCCTACCTTCCCTCTCTTCCAGCGCTGCAGCCTCTGTAAGACACGTCTGCTTTTGACACTTTATGGTAGTGTCAGGTTTCCGCGTCCTTTGAAACATTCCACATTTCCATCATCTAACTCCAATGTCTCTATTGAGCCCTGTAGAGATGTAGGAGTTGAAGGATATGTAGCGCCCCCCCTGACACCCAGAGGCCTGAGGTGGACCCCCAAATGATAGGGGAGGCTGACATTTCACTCTCAGGGACAGATCCTTAGCCAGTGTAGGGGCGTGTGATCGACAAATTGGGCACCAGTCACTTTAAGTGCCTTTTTAAATGCTTTATTGCAGAACAGCATAACTGTGAGAGAGTGGGTATAGGGCTTCAGATATCCTTGACAAAAATTAGGCAGGCTCCAGACTCACCAATCCAAACTTCCACAGTGCAGAATTACTAGGAGAACAGGCTGACAGTGGGTAATAGAGCAATAGCTGAACTGGAATGTGCATGAGATCTTCCCTGGGTGAGACACCAGTCTTGTTCCAGAGGTGCATATCAGCTCCTGGTACCGCCAACAGTCATAAAGCTCCTCTGGCTCTCCTCCCAGATCGTTCCAGACCCCACCTGGGTCCACATGTGGCCTCCTCCAGGCTTGAGGCTTAGTTAGATTCTCTAGCCTTGTGCATCCCACCCATGGGCTAAGCCCATGGGTGGACTAAAGACTGAGCACATGGCAAATCCTTGAGTATATATGCACTCCCAAAGCATGCACCACTGCCCATGAAACTCCCAGTGATTGGCCGGTGATGCATGAACACTCCTGATGTTTACCTATTGGCTGCCCCACTCTGCATCAGGGTCACACCCCACTGGCAGGTAGGTGCAATCAATAGCAGAAAACCTAGAATTAACCAGATAATGTCCAACTACAAATCAGCTAAACTGATTACAGTGCTAGCAATGTTACATTTTCGTAGCCGCTCTTCTTAAGGCGGTAAGGGGTACAGATGGATCCACAGTGTGCCACAATGTGTCCCCTGAAGTCCCCGGACATGTCATGTGGTGACAAGCTTTACAAAAACTGCAGCATTGAAATGAGACAAGGGACTTTAAGTTCTGGTGACAACAGTCGAAGATGAGATTTCCTCTCACTTACAGTATATTTGGGTCTCTGAGACTGGGAAAATCTACCACTGGTGACACAGACAGCAACAAAAACCTCATCAAGCTTCTAACCCTTCCTTTAGACTAGACTAGACTAGAGTTTCACTATAATACATGAGTTGTAGATTGCTTCAGCCATCAACACATCATCATCATTTAATTACAGTTGGGAAGCAAAGAAGAGTAACCAAACTATTCACCCCATCCTTCTCCACCAACCATATTTTCTCCGCTTGCAGTCATCAGAATAACAGGCTGAAAAACAGACTTTTTTAAGTGTTCGCCATTCACTTATACACTTTACACATTTATTTTCAACTTTTGCTGAATGTTTGGAAATGGAGGCTGTTTTGCTGACCTCTTTCAAACAACGCTAACTGCCTAGCTGTGTCTGACTTCAATACTTCACAGACCTGAAGGAAGCTTGCGGCAAATGAAAGTTTGGAATTCTTTCTTTATATTTGAAAACAGTGAAAACAAAGCATTAGTGTGGCGCCCAGCAGCCTGCATTTTCAGCAGAGGTCTGCAATGACAACCCACGTTTTTCTTTCTTGACAAGTTTCCTTTAAATACACTTTAGGTGGTTTGCACTGGCGGAACTACCAGGGTTGCAGCGGTCGCAATTGCATAGCATGTACGGGTGGCTGTGCGGCAGGGCTGGAAAGGCTGTCACTTGTACAGCAGAATGTGCTGCAGGCACCGCCAGGCAGCACATTCTGCTGTGTGAGGACCCTATGATTACCTAATTACCTGCTAATGATTATGCAGCAATGCAGAATAGCACAGACAATGCGGGACTACAAGTCCCAGCAATGCATTATATTTTTAAGTAGAGATGCACCAGTGCCAATAATGGGCACTTTCACGAGTACTCATACTAGTGAAAATGCCCCTATATTATATGCAGATACCGGTGTTCTGTCAAGAGCGCAGACGTAGTCGAATTTGCCGTCTTCAACATGTGCGCTTGCGCACAGACCAGTATTATCGAGGAAATCGGGAAGTATTTCGTTTAAATTGTTAATTGTGACCGTTAATAATATTCCATCCATCAATCACTGTCATCCATCATTTACTGCCATGGACGGCATATTATTAACGGTCACAATTAACCATTACAAACAAATAATTTGTAAATAAATGCCGGTTTCCACATTAGTCCCCTCTGTACGTAAGCGGCAGATACTGGATCGGTGTTCTCAACAGAACACCAGCACTAAATTTTTAAACTGAAGAGGCTGCCTGAGGTCCAGCGATTGCTGGGGACCTCGGCAGCCTTCCTGTGAAACACATGGTGCCATGGCGATGGGGGGTTGGGGGGGGGGTTTCTTGCACCGGGGCCCTGAAGGTTCTAGTTACGCCTCTGGGGGTTTGCATATAAGCTTCAGTTTGTATAAGAGCAGCGTATACAGCAAGCTTTCAGAAGCCATTTGCAAAGCTGTTAAACACTGATCAAATTAGGAATACTGCGGGCTAATATAAATGAGCTACTGGCCGTCTTTTTGTCACACTATACAATTAACTGACTCTTCAGATTTTCCTTTTTGTATATTTGCATTTCTCATCTGAAGTATCCAAATATTTTTTCAGACAGTTGCTGCTCCCTGACAGTCTGATACTCATGCAGATGCTGGAAGATGCTCCTGATCCTTTTTTTGGAATGATGGAGGTTCCCCCAGAACTACCAAATCCATATATGATCCCGCAGGTAAAATGGTGCCTGTCTCACAAGACCACTTCTGATTACTCTAGGGAACCAAAACAGCTGTCAAAATGTTTCTGTACATAGTTACATAATGCTTATTTGTTTGAAACAGATCCGCGCACTTTTAGAGACTTCAGGCCCTGAACTTGTCAGATATGAAAAAAGCCCTCCAAGACGTCGCAGAACAAGTCGCAGAGAAGGTGAGAGAGGATGGCAGGCAGGAAGTGACCAGCATGTAAGGCCTTCACTAACTATCTGGCATCAAATACAGGAATACAGGATGTCATGACTCGTATGCTTACACCTCTTCATTTGATTGTATTGTAAATTAAACCAAATAATTAGAATATTACTTTACTGTATCCATTTTGGATGCAGATAGCATTTTCATAATATATCATAAAGATCATAAGCAGAAAGCTCTCCAGAAGTTAAAGTATATTTAAAGCCAAAACATTACACTGTTGTCGACAGAACAGGAATAGAAAGCAAAAGGTCCAATGGGAAAGTCCATTCATTGCATTGCTGCGTTGCAGTGAACTAACCCTTTAACAATTTAGCAGGGATTCCCATGCCCATTGGTTCAATTATTCACATACCAAAAATGATTATATTATTTGTCAGTGTATATATCTGTGAAGGTGTTAGGGTTCTCATAAAAGAAAAGTTCAAGCATGCACAACAGAGGAGCCTAATAAAAATGAATCTTAACAGGGTTTAGTGTTACATATTGAGTGTCCTGTGGTATAAGCCCTGCCTATTAGGACAGTGGAGACCAAGCAAAGAGCCTCCTCCACCTATAAGTGCTATATCTATCTCCCATACACTGCCGCTTTGGTCTAACAAAGTGTTTGTAGGAGGTAATTCTGTCTGCTTAGAGATTCACATTAGTTTTAGCTTCTAATGGAGCAAGTTATATTGTCAGAGCTTAGAGGAGGTTCCGTTGAGAAGAAACTGTGCATTAGTCAGTACTTTGTGTTTATTCTTTCCTTAGCAGAGAGTGATCACCTGGCATCTCCAGAAGCTATAACTATGCGAGAAGAGGAGCCTATCCTATTGCCACCAGTAGAGGTAAATGGAGTAAAATAGACCTGCACTGTGCTCTTCACCACCCTCTTTATCTCAGTTACGTCTAGATATCCATTCATTATCCTAGAATTCTAGGCAACCTATTAGGAAATAGAGTTGCATTTTCTATTTTATGTTCTCATTACAGTTTGCTACAAGTGTCTTGTGCGCCACAATTTGGCAAATGTGTCATTTTGTTGCAACAATCTATCATCCATTACAATTCCCATTTAGCCGTGAGACAAAGATATGTCTGTGAAGGTTCTCATTCATCCAGGTCATGGTATATCTGTAAAAATTAAGTCAAGGCAACCAGCTTTCTCAATTCAGAGTGACTTGTACAAAAATTATCTGGGAATAAATCTGGTGAATCTCGCTCCAATCCACATAATATGTTAGTCACAACCAGGTGTTGATTGCATTGAGAAAGCTGGTTAGATGACCAGTGAAACGTCTTCAAGAGAAATACAGCACGTTCAGTTGCCTTGACTTATTTTTTACAGATATACTTCAGACAAAGAGTTACAATCAAATCTTGTGCTACACCAAGACTGGTTGGCAGATAACCTCTCGTGTTGCCTTTAAAGAGCAACAACAAACAGCAAGTAAAATTCAAAGGTGACCTGCTAATGCTGTAAAGGAAAATTGTATAGCTGACAGTGAAATCAATTTACATCTCTTTACAATCAGATTCATCAGGAACTTTCTTGATTTTCTGGTTGCTATTTCAAGCTCTTGTCACACTGTATCATCCCTCTCACTATACAAATTGGGTTGGAGCTATGAAGCATGCTGCCCTGGATTTTTACAGGCTCAAATACAGCAACATTCAATAGATGAGGAAGCTAGCAACCAAAGGGATTTTCATAGCATGGCAGGAAGGTGCAAAAAAGTAGGTTGGTAATAATCAACATACTGTGTGTAAAAAAATCATATATAGATTTCTAAACTGGTGCAATATTATTGTTTTTTTATGTTCAATGGCAAATAGCATGTTCAATGGCAAATTAAAGACAAAAATAAAATTGCCTACTATTTAAAAGTGTGTTATACTAGAATGATTTAAGCTACTAATTTAGGTCTGGCTCCCGTGTTGTTTGCTTCTATGACTACTGTATGAAACATACTCTCACTGTTTGTATTTACTGTTTGGACCACTTTATCTGTTACAACAGATTTGGCCCACAGTGTGAATCCATAACCTAATGCTCCAATCTCATGAACCTCTAGATCTCTACAATAACAGTTAAACCTTCAAAAATGATTTGGGCCAACCTTCTATACCCCCAGCAGCTTGTCAGTCCCTGCACTGTCCCCTAGCAATTGTTAAGGACTCACATTGTATCTCTCGGACCACAAACCCTTCCCCCAAGCAACCTTTTTTAAGCAACTTGACATGTACCTACAGTACCCTTACAGGCCCACCATACCAAGCTTTCTGCAACTCTTTTGGCACCACTACCAGCTCAGTAACTTTTCTGTCACCATTTAGACTTCTCAAGCAGACATCTTGCCCGCTAGTTGTAGCAGGCTGGCAGGTGTCATGGGCTGAAAGTGCACTGCCCTGTGAAATAAGCACCTCACTCTCTCAAACTTTCAGCAAATGTCAGTGTGCAGAAGCATTCCGGGACTTGAACAGTGGCACACTTTATATTATTGATGATCAGACGTGCACTATTCCAAGGGCTGTTGTGTTCCCCTGTAAACAGGTGTGTTAACAAACAAATGTGAGCTGCAGAGGGAACTCTGCTCAGCAGGTATACAAAATATGAATCTTCTCGTTGGGCGGTTGGAGAAAAAGAAGGTACAAGGATCCTATATAGCTGTGAGGGAGATGCATACAATAGATAGGTATATTTTATATAGATAAGTGTGTATAATAATAGTGATCTATTGATTTACTGGAACACATTGGTTTACCCAATCATTTTGCTATTTGATCTTGAATTTTAGCATATCAAACCATTATACAAAAAATTAAATATCAGAAATTGGAGTCTGGTTTTCATTAGCTGTCATATGTATTACTCATGTATTTTTGGCGTCCCATTTACCTTATAGATTGGCCAAGACCTCCCAGAACTGAGTGCCTTTGATTTGGAGTTACTTGCTTCTGATTTGCCTGCATTTCCTGAAGCTGAAACGTTACCAGAGCCTGGAAAGAGAGGCGTACGAGAACCAAAAGAGAATGGTTTGCCAGAAAAAGAAAAACCCAAAAAGCCCCAGAAGGAGAGAGAAGTCAAGAAAGCTGATGAACGTGAAAGAGAGCTAGACATGGATGAAATTGAGAGAAAAAGAAAAGAGCTTCAGGAAATGGAAAGAGACGTAGCAAGTCTAAGGGAAGAGAAAAGACAAATGGAGCAGCAAAGAGAATCTGAAAGAGAACGAGAGAGAGAAATGAGAAAAGAAATAGAAAGAGAAGTCCTGAAGGAGCTGGAAAAAGAAAAGGAGGATCTGAGAGAAGCTAGGGAAGAGCTGGATTATCTTCAAATCACTGGAGCTGCAGAAGAGCTTCTGCTGGAGCAGCTAAAAGAAATAGAGCGCCTGAAAGAGTTAGAGAAAGAGAGAGAACGCCAGTGGGAAGCAGAAAAATTACTGCAGCTTCAACAAGAAAAAGAGAGGGAACGCAAGCGCTTAAAGGAATGCGAAAGAGACATTGATCAAATACGAAAGGCTGAACGGGAAATTGAAGCGCTGAAGAAGTCTTTGGTGGAGATAGAAGAAGAGAGGAGAAGGACGGAGGGAGGTAGAAGGCTCTCAGATTTACAGGATTTATTCTGGCCATACACACATTAATCATGCCATATGAACGGATGGCTAAAATGATACATTTGCTTGCATTAATGTGATCACCATTAATGTCAAAAGATTCTTTAAAAAAGTAAACAAAATCTACTCCGTACACCAGAGTAGTGGCTTAAAAATAGCTATAACGTTCTGCCCGCCCCCCATCCATCCTTCAAAAATGACATTGATAATTAAATATGATTTGATATTCTTATCAAATCATGCAATTATGAAACGATCAGACCATTTCATTTTTGGCCAGCATAAAATAGAATTATGGAACACTTGTATGCTTAATTATAGTGAGCCTGTGCGTAAAAACTCAATAAATACTTATTTTAAAAAAAGTCTTAAAAAAAAAGTAAAAACTCAATAAATATTTATTAAAAAAATAAATAAAGTGAGCCTGTGCTCTCCTAATGCCGGGCTAAGCAATAGTGTCACTTTAACGCCACTTCCAGCACATAATCACCTTTCCTTCACTCTCCCACCACTCAGTTCAGCCACCAGAAGCAAGTAAAAGAAGCCCCGTGTATGCTTGGGGTTGAGGTCTATCCCTAATACTGTGTGACAGTGCTGGGTCAATTACCAACCACCGGCTCCTCCATACTCAAAAGTACAGTCATTTTTTTGCTCCCAGTAGCTGAACGGAACACTGGGTGAGCGCAGCATCAACAGCATCCTGTGTTGCCTGCTCGTTGGGCTCTGAATGTGCATACTCCCAGTGCACTAGATTTTAGGTAAATACCTAACAGCACTGAGGGTTTTTCTTCATTGTCCATTGAGAAATACTATTATAGTCCAATTATACTACCACCTACAGGAGGTTGGTACACTGGTAAACAGAAAAAGTTGTGAGTCAGCCACATTATAACCCCTCCTCTACTCAGCACGCCTCAGTTTTATTTCCTACAGTGTTGTAGGAAATTGTATGCCTTTTCTTCAACTCCACTGAATATGTGTTAACTAATGTGTTTGCTATTCTTAAATCAAGATTTTATTGCTACACTGCTGGTGTTTTTCTCCTCAGTGACTTCAATCATTATTCCTTGCTGTATCACTGCTCAATCTAGTCTCTACATATCAGCTATCCAGATCAGCAGCTCCCCAGCACTAGCTTTGGAGGCCGTACCTGGACCCCACTGTGCTGGACGAATTTTAGGCCTAGCCTGGAATGTGACCTTTGGGCACTGGGCTTTGCCTTTGGCACTTTCCAGACCTGAGTATACTGGTTAGATAGCTACGGAGGGCATTCCAAGTACACATCTGCATACAGAGGTCAATCTGCATCTGATCTTTCTGACTTCCAAAATTCAGCCGAGCGTGTGGGCCCAGTCTCTATCTCTGATACAGAGTCTGAGCTCCAACAGTCCTCCTCTGAGGAGGCTAATAATTACTCACCTGCTGATGACCCAGATTTAAGAGGGGTTGTCTCGAACCTGATTCATGCAATGTGTGCTACCCTAGGTCCGGGTATCAGCCTATTGTTGCAGGCCTAGGGTCTTTTTAAAGCTCCTGCAGCTGCTAAGACCTTTCCACTACACCTGCAGTCTATCAGTCTGTCTAGTTGGCAGCTGTTCAGTGATATCTGTCAATCCTAGGTACACTATATATGTTGGGAGGAAGAATTACTGCTCAGGTATGTTTTTTGATGTACCAGTTTGGGGGGGGAGGGGGGGGGGAATGAACTACCCTTAGTCCTGCCTATTCCCTTTTTTTAAGGGTTTCACTTGCTCACTCTACTTCCCCTTAAGGATGACTACAGGGCTAGTAGTTTTTTCTTGCCCTGTTCTGTAATGTTAGGTTAATCCTCTGCCCTCGCCTTGGTTGTAGCAGTTCCCCTGTCTTGCAGGGGACTTTTCCCTGTTTATTCCTGATTTGGGAGTTATCCCTTCAGATAACTCGGACATGTAATCGTTCTAAAATTTTCAGTGGCTATTGCCCACCCCTCAATTGCTTTACTGCTGTAATAGAATTCTTATGTCCTTCACTGGATGATAAAGAAAAAAAGATGTAATGGTTTCTTATAAAACTTAGGCATGCTGGGTAGAGGAGGAGTTATACAAGGGGCTGGCTTAATACTTTTTCTGTTTGCCTCGTGTAGGCGGCAGTACAACTCAACTGTAATAGGATTCCTGTGTCCCTCAATGGACTACAAGATTTTACAGAAAGTACCAAAAATAATTTTGGTTTTCATTTCCAAGTCAGTAGGATCATTTTCCTTCCTAGGCCACAAGCTGGGTTGTATTAGCCAAGCCATGCCTGTACAAATGGAGTACAATCATTTTATAATGATATAATCTTATCACAAGAGAACAGCTACCATCTCCCTCAAAAAAGCAGACACATTAAGACCCCCCTTCATACTGAGCGGTTTATCACGCGATTTCCGCTCCAAAATTGTGCATATTTCCGTGCAATGTCGCTCAATGTAGCTTGTCCAATGCATTTCAATGGAGTTGTTCACATCTCACACCTCAATGTCGCCTGTAGCTCGTCGATCAAGCTTGTAGCTCGAACATGACCTAGTTTTGGCCCCAATAGACTCAATGGTGTCGCTCATTACCGGCAATATTGCACGACTTTGTCGTGTGATATCACGCTACAGAAGTGTCAGTTTTGCACAGCAATATGGAAGGAATGATGTCACATCAAGACATCATTCTTTTTTTCACATCAAGACATCATCCGCTTTTGATTGGTTACAGCCCAATGTAGCAGCGACGAAGTCCCTCCCAAAAGTCGCACTACGTAGAGCGAAAAAATGTGCGATATAGCTCAATGTAGCTCATGTCGCTCAGCTCGTAATCGCGCGGAAAAACACGTGATTTTTCATGCTGCTCAGTGTGAATGGGGTCTAATAATATAAAACATTTTCTAAAATGTATTCAGTACTTACATCAAAACAAAATATTTTACAAGCCTTACTCTTTGGTTTCTTACAAAGCAGTCACAGCAGAGTATGCTGTAGAGAAGGACCCTTGCTCTCTCTGTGCAAGCAGTGGTCTGTCTTTAGAGGTCCAGCAAGCCCCTATCCAATTCAGAGTTAGAACTCTCCAATCAGAAGGGAGCATGAGCTTTGCTATTTGCAGAACTATAGGTCTGACTCAGCAGGGGGGGTGTTAGACCTCTGCAGCGAGATCACTGCTTCTCCTCGGAGAGGCAAGGGTCCTTTACTACAGCATGCTGGCAGGGGACAAGCTTTTCTACTTTGGCTGTGGCTGCTTGCTTAAGAAAACAATCTGTAAGACTTTGAATATCATTTGTTTTGATGCACCTTAAACATATTTAGCTTATATGAATAGAAGATTCAATTGGGCCTTCAAAATGCTAAAGTGTGAATTGCCCCTTATTTAGAATTTGCGTGGGGGTAGCCCCACTGCAAGGGTTAGGTGCTCATTTGTGTCTAGGTGCTACAATAGCAAAGATATACGCACCGGAAGCTCCGAGGTGGTCAGCTGTCACAGGCTGTCTACCCCTCCCTGCAGCATTCTTCAGCATCCTCACGTCTATACAATGGGGGGAATTTATCAAACAGAATCTGGAGCAGTTGCCCATAGTAACCAATCAGCTTCACTCTTCAGATTCTGTCTTCTCCAGTTTCCCCTCACTGTGTATAGATGTGATGATTTATGGGACCTTAGACTGCTGCAGAGGAGGGGGAGAGACGTTGGAAGGATAGGTCTAAGAAGAAGCCGGCTTGGAGCTTCGGGTGAGTCTACTTTTTTTTAATTTAACTGAAACCAAAACAAGCACCCTTGCAGTGCTGGGGTAACCCCACTGTAAGGGTTAATAAAAAGATTTCCTGAAGTTCTGCTTTAAAGAAGAATATTGACTGGTTGCTGAAATGACTGCACTGTGTTATTGTTCCCTTCTATATAACGTCCAGGGTATACACATAATAATCAATGCTGCATCTTCTACACTGAAGTACAACACAGTAAATGATCTGTCGGTGTGATGCTATGTGGGCACATAATGGATTTTTGTTTATACTTTAATTCATTATTAATATTTGTTTTCAGAGCAAGTAGATGACAGACGTAGAAGTGTAACAGAAGCTAGACGTTCCCCTACTCCAGGGTAGAGTAACCATAGACTTATGTTATTTGAGTATTCATTTGTATTATAAAAGTAAGGAGAAAGGTGAACAATGTAGCAAGTTTTTCTTCCAAGTGTTTGTGAACAAATGCTGCTCCAGTAACATTATTATAACTGGTGGCCGGCTAAAGAAGAAAGATCTCTAATTATAACTGGCTGCTAATGCCACATCAGTATTCCTAAAATGCTTTTAGAGGCGGCATGCTACTGATTTTCCATGCTTGACTTTGTTGGGACACCATAATATTCATATGCAGCGTACAATTGCTGTGATTTATTTGTTATGAGAAGTCACAGTGACCTGAGATGGGATATTTACACATTGATAACTATGCTACCTTGTAACACAAATATGCTTATCTGTAACTTCTGCTACATTGTGTTCAAGCATGGTAAAAAATAAAAACAAACTGCAAACAAGTCAAATCTAGAAGTCTTTTAAGGGCCGCTAAACGACCCTCACTTTTGAATGCGGTAATGCTATCACTTTACCTGGAGTTACAGAATTGTACAATATATATGAGAGATGTTGGATGTTCATGTTGAATGGCTCTCCTCTGGAACACAGACTCTGACTAATGAGTATTAATATACAGGATTTATATAGCGCCAACAGTTTGCACAGCGCTTTACAACATAAGGAAGACATTACAATTACAATAGTATGGACAGAAATGATATAGTAACAGAATAAATAGACATACTAACCTAAATTGGAAAAACTTGGAAAAACAATTTGGAGCTGCCATTGCTGACTTCTTTTTTGAAGGTTCCAGGGCTTGCATTGTGATTCTGATATTGCTGGCCATACACTGGCTGACGTTTGGTGCTGTGACTGCTGAATAGTGACTGCAGCTTGTTAGCTCCAGTCAATGTTTGAGTATTAGACCCCGTTCACATGTAGCGACATACCTTTGCAGCGGCCGGGATAGCGCGACTTTCGGGGCGAAGTTCCAGCGACGATCCAGAGACGGTAGCGCGACCTTCTCCGTCGGGCTCCATAGAAAAAAAGCAAAATTGCGCAAAATCCGCCGAAAAAAGGGTCCGGTAGAAGCCACTTGCGACCGCGACGAGCGACATGGAGTTAAGACAGCTCCATTGAATAGCATTGGCCGGCGACTTCTCGCGATAACGCGCGGCAAAAATGCGCGAAATCGCGCGACAATTCGCTATATGTGAACGAGGCCTTATTGTAATGGGACACTTACCACTGTCAGGATACAATGGCCAGCAGGGAAGATTCCTCTATTGATGCTGCTTAGCGTGGATGGGGTAATCACATGTTTTTTCTCTTTTAACCCATGGGGCTGGATAAAAAAAAAAGATGATGGGTCTATAGCCAGTCTTAGTGAGCCACCGACATGGAGCAGTTGGAAAAGTTTTGTAACCCCTGACCTGCAGGAGGTTGACAGCCCCAGAGATTGCACTTTATTGGTATCAAGCATAGTCTATCATGAGAGGTTGCCTTATGTCCTATTGTTTGCTCAGAAAGATTACATTTTTTTTATCTGGCGCTACTGTAACGATATACAGGTGAAACTCGAATAATTAGAATATCGTGCAAAGTTCATTTATTTCACTAATGCAACTTATGCGGTGAAACTAATATATGAGATAGTAGGGTTAATAAAAAGATTTCCTGAAGTTCTGCTTTAAAGAAGAATATTGACTGGTTGCTGAAATGACTGCACTGTGTTATTGTTCCCTTCTATATAACGTCCAGGGTATACACATAATAATCAATGCTGCATCTTCTACACTGAAGTACAACACAGTAAATGATCTGTCGGTGTGATGCTATGTGGGCACATAATGGATTTTTGTTTATACTTTAATTCATTATTAATATTTGTTTTCAGAGCAAGTAGATGACAGACGTAGAAGTGTAACAGAAGCTAGACGTTCCCCTACTCCAGGGTAGAGTAACCATAGACTTATGTTATTTGAGTATTCATTTGTATTATAAAAGTAAGGAGAAAGGTGAACAATGTAGCAAGTTTTTCTTCCAAGTGTTTGTGAACAAATGCTGCTCCAGTAACATTATTATAACTGGTGGCCGGCTAAAGAAGAAAGATCTCTAATTATAACTGGCTGCTAATGCCACATCAGTATTCCTAAAATGCTTTTAGAGGCGGCATGCTACTGATTTTCCATGCTTGACTTTGTTGGGACACCATAATATTCATATGCAGCGTACAATTGCTGTGATTTATTTGTTATGAGAAGTCACAGTGACCTGAGATGGGATATTTACACATTGATAACTATGCTACCTTGTAACACAAATATGCTTATCTGTAACTTCTGCTACATTGTGTTCAAGCATGGTAAAAAATAAAAACAAACTGCAAACAAGTCAAATCTAGAAGTCTTTTAAGGGCCGCTAAACGACCCTCACTTTTGAATGCGGTAATGCTATCACTTTACCTGGAGTTACAGAATTGTACAATATATATGAGAGATGTTGGATGTTCATGTTGAATGGCTCTCCTCTGGAACACAGACTCTGACTAATGAGTATTAATATACAGGATTTATATAGCGCCAACAGTTTGCACAGCGCTTTACAACATAAGGAAGACATTACAATTACAATAGTATGGACAGAAATGATATAGTAACAGAATAAATAGACATACTAACCTAAATTGGAAAAACTTGGAAAAACAATTTGGAGCTGCCATTGCTGACTTCTTTTTTGAAGGTTCCAGGGCTTGCATTGTGATTCTGATATTGCTGGCCATACACTGGCTGACGTTTGGTGCTGTGACTGCTGAATAGTGACTGCAGCTTGTTAGCTCCAGTCAATGTTTGAGTATTAGACCCCGTTCACATGTAGCGACATACCTTTGCAGCGGCCGGGATAGCGCGACTTTCGGGGCGAAGTTCCAGCGACGATCCAGAGACGGTAGCGCGACCTTCTCCGTCGGGCTCCATAGAAAAAAAGCAAAATTGCGCAAAATCCGCCGAAAAAAGGGTCCGGTAGAAGCCACTTGCGACCGCGACGAGCGACATGGAGTTAAGACAGCTCCATTGAATAGCATTGGCCGGCGACTTCTCGCGATAACGCGCGGCAAAAATGCGCGAAATCGCGCGACAATTCGCTATATGTGAACGAGGCCTTATTGTAATGGGACACTTACCACTGTCAGGATACAATGGCCAGCAGGGAAGATTCCTCTATTGATGCTGCTTAGCGTGGATGGGGTAATCACATGTTTTTTCTCTTTTAACCCATGGGGCTGGATAAAAAAAAAAGATGATGGGTCTATAGCCAGTCTTAGTGAGCCACCGACATGGAGCAGTTGGAAAAGTTTTGTAACCCCTGACCTGCAGGAGGTTGACAGCCCCAGAGATTGCACTTTATTGGTATCAAGCATAGTCTATCATGAGAGGTTGCCTTATGTCCTATTGTTTGCTCAGAAAGATTACATTTTTTTTATCTGGCGCTACTGTAACGATATACAGGTGAAACTCGAATAATTAGAATATCGTGCAAAGTTCATTTATTTCACTAATGCAACTTATGCGGTGAAACTAATATATGAGATAGACTCATTACATGCAAAGCAAGATAATTCAAGCCGTGATTTGTCATAATTGTGATGATTATGGCTTACAGCTCATGAAAACCCCAAGAACCCCAAATGCACAACCTCAAAAAAGTAGATTATTACATGCAATCAATAAAACAAGGATTGTACATAGAACAATATCGGACCTCTGAAAAGTACAAGCATGCATATGTACTCAGTACTTGGTTTGGGCCCCTTTTGCAGCACTTACTGCAATTACTTTTGCACGATATTCTAATTATTCGAGTTTCACCTGTATATATAGGCCCACTTCACTCTACTTCCATGGAATGCTTTGGTGTAATTTGCTCAGTACTTTCCTGCAGACAGGCACATTCTCACCATTCTCTCTTACTCTCTTCAGTCTCCCCGAAGAAATGGTTTCAGAACTTGATGCTGCAATGCAGATGGAAGACGTAGCAGCAGAACCAATTGCTCTGCCTTCTGGTAAGATAAAATGTGCATCACATATATAAACAGACAACAAGCTTACTAGTGAAGCACATTAGAACAACAGCATGCAATGAATGAAATTTAGTTTAGATGATATACATACATCTTAACCAGGGTTGTCCCTAGCCTTTTTGCCCTGAGGTGGTGGGGGAGAGTAAGGGTTGCTGCACAATCAGTGGGGGGGGGGGATTGGGTGCTGTTGGAGAGTGACACCGCTAAAAGTGTATGTGTAAGGTCTCTGCATCTCGTGTCAATGTCACTGGTTGCCAGGAGCTCGGCGGGATGCCGGCAAGTGTCCCAGGTTGCTAATTGCTAAGAGCTGGGCAGGGAGATGTATATGACCCTTACACATCTCCCTGCCCGGCTCTTAGCAACCAGGGACGGTCTGCAAACATTGTGCAACGAGCCGCTCTGCCTGCTGTCCTACATAACCCAAAGAGATACCGCCTGAGGCAAAAGCCTCATTAGGGCTGCCTCATTATAGGGACCGCCCTCATCTTAATAGTACAATATAATTATAGCTGCAACATGTACATACGCTGCAACATAGGCCTTAAAGCATACTAAAGGGCCTCTCAGTCTGAGTCACATGCCACTTTTGAATGTCTTAAAGTTGCACTTCAGCTTAAAAAAAATATTTGCTAGGACAAAGCTTTTTATTTAGAGAAAAACCAACCTCTATATGTCTCTGTTAGCAAGTTCCTTACAAGGTGCTTACAAGATTGTAAACTGAGCTGTTCATGTGCGGCTCAGTGCACAAGCTCGGCATTGCTTGGTATGGGGATGAAGTATTTCCTGTGCACATGTGCAGGAGGTATATCATCCTGGGATGGCCAATTAAGATGGCTGAAGATGCTGAACCTGGAAGAAAATTGGGTGAAAATTGTCAGCATTGACGAGGGAGCTCGAGGATACCAGAGCACCGGAGTAAATATGGATTTTAGTCAATATTTATTGACTGTTATAGTATAGTGTCACATCATTCAAAGCGACACTTCGGAACCACAAGGTCCCTTCCTCAGGAAAAACAATGAGACTGTTTGTTTTGTCTAAGATAGGGAACTTGTGGTTCCGAAATGTCGCTTTGAATGATGTGACACTATAACAGTCAATAAATATTGACTAAAATCCATGCTGGAGTGCTAGTGACTTTTCTTGCTTTGAATTTGACTTGCGGAGCCATCCTCTGTCATTTTAGCACCCACCCGAATTTCAGGGGTTTGATCCGGTCAGGAGTGCGATAGGTCCCACATTTCTTTTGACGCTGAGAAACATACCACAGCCAGAGCAGAGGGGGGTGGGGGGAAGAGAGGTGAGCAGTCACTGCTGCAGAATCAAGGATTAGAGTATTTCATCTTTATTTTTGCCCCCTAGAGAACGAGCAGTTAACTGTTGCAGTGCGGTGGTAACAAAGGTTTAACTTTTCAAAATCCTGAAGTTCTTCTTTGGCACTGTAATTTAGTATGTCTGAGGTGTTATTGCAGCTTTAAATATGCTCATGCATGATTGATGTTGTATGAGGTGACATCATATAAATCATCAAACTGTCAAACATAAACCCTGGATTGTAATTAAAATGGTAACGTGTCACCAGAAATAGGCGGGGTGCTCTATAAACATAAGCTATATTGTATCATTTCCCCATGGGTGTTGAGACACAGAACTGAAATGGCTGCAGTTATCACTTTACAGAAAAGAAAAGAGGAAATAAAACACACGCATACCCACACTTGAGACATATTATGTGGGGTGGCTTTCCATAAGGCAGGCAGGCAGGCATATCTTCAACAAGCTACAAAGACATTACCAGCACAATCATAGGCCTGCACAGCCTATTGCTATAGGGCAGTGTTTTTTCAACCTTTTTTGTGCAAAGGCACACTTTTTTCATGAAAAAAATCACGAGGCACACCACCATTAGAAAATGTAAAACATTTTTACCTCTGTGCCTATATTGACTATATATAAAGTAATTCTCTACAGCGAGCCTGGCAGGTAGTCATGTGACCACCCACCCGGCTTCCTGATTGGATGGGGTATAAATACTAGCCAATCAAGGAAAAGCTATGAATTATTGATTGCTGACTTTGTAGTCAAAGGGGAACAATAAGGTTTTCCATACTATCAAGGAAGAAGTTCTCTAATCTATATTTTTTGGTACTAAAGCTGAACAAATCCAAAAGGAAACAATTATCTATCTATTCAAATTCAAAGGTATTCAAATGCTGGTAACTTAAAGTGACACTAAACTCAGCATTTAAGTACCTCAACTATTAACACAAATGTATCTTATTTGTTTATCACTCGGCTGTGGATCCTCAAATCATCTCTGATCTCTCTCATACTGACATGGGGGGGGGGTTATCAAAACTGGAGCAGACAAAATCTGGAGCAGCTATACATGGCAACCAGTCAGCTCCTCTCTTCAGTTTATTCAGTTAAGATTTGAAAATGAAAGAGAGATGCTGATTGGTTCCCATGGACAGCTGCTCCAGATTTTGTCTGCTCCAGTTTTGATGAATTCCCTTCACTACTGTCCTTCCTTCTGGAGCGTGGCTACTTTTGCTCCACATGGTCCCTGTGTGTTGTAAAATAGTCACCGCTCCAAGCTCGCTCCTGTGATGGACTAAAATCCCATGTTTAGTTTACTCATTTGTATTGTTATAATAGTCCGTGTACATCTGAGTGATACACAAATAAAATACATGTTTGGTAATAGTTAAGGTACTTAATTGCATTTTTAAGATATAACTCCTGAGTTTAGTGTCACTTTAAGAGTCCCCATATGGGACCTCCTCCTCTAGAGAAGAAGCTGATTTTTTTCTTGGGATTTGTGCAGTCTGTAGAGCATAGAATGAGCACTCCTGCTGGTGTTCAGCACCCGATCTGCCCAATTCAGGGCAGAGTACCCTATACTTATGCCAATGCTGAATCTAAGCTGACTTTCTTTCTAGAGGGGGCTCCAGAAATGCCGTCACCCCAACAAGTGTCTCCTCAGCTTCGTTCTCCACAGGTACTGTATCATAATCTCACATCTGTCTGCTCTTTTCTCTACTCTTCTGCTACTATTATGTTTGTGGTTAATAACTCTGTCACTAAATCAATGAATGTTTTTCTACGGCCTCCTGGACTTCTCTCTAATGTACTTGGAAATCACAATACAACAACTTCAGGCCTTGCCCAGAAAAATGTGCGATGGTGATGATATTTTCAGTGAAAAGTATGAATGAGATTATGGACTAGACATTGACCACATATACTTGTGTTGGTCTTCCTAATTAGCACAAAAGGATTGTATACATATCTCATGACCGATTACATTGACCAGGATTAGAACTTTTAGCACGTTGTACATTAGAAGGCTCTCAGAAAGTGCAGAGAGGTTTCTGAGGACCCACTCTTCTCCAACTATTCAAGGATAGGAATAATGTGCAGATTTTCTACTGTGGAGTAACAAGGCAATGTTTGTGCTAGTCTTATGGGCCTCGGGAACATATGCACATGTAACCACTAACTATGCTGGCGACAGCTTGCAAGCAAACTACACCTTATTATCTGTATCTGCTACAGCAGAATCTCAAGCTACACCTGCACCCTAATACAGTCTATGCCTAGTGTACACAATGCCTAGAGCTCATCATATACTGTAGGGATGCACCCATACCGATACTATTATTATTACTGATACTAGTATCGGTGCCGATACTGAGTACTCGTCCAAATGCTCCAATGCATACCTCCGATACCGGAACTTCTGGTCAGTGGGAGATATCCCTCTGACTGGCAGTGCTAAGGGAGCATGGAGCCGGCTTCCTTTCCAATCAGGAAACCGAGCGTCGGGTTATGACCCGCCTTTAGCGTGCTGATTCCTGACAAATTCGGAAGCCGGATGGCACCTCATGACCCGCTGCCCGTGTTCCTAATTGGTCATTAAGTCAGGCAATTAAGGAAGCCAGGCAATCTGCGCGCCCGACTTCCTGATAATTGGGGCACACCGCACTGGTATCGGTCCTCGGTATTGATTAAAAAAAAGTATCGAGATTCGTACTCAATACCGAAAAAACAGGATCAGTGCATCCCTAATATACCGTATACGTTCTAGAAAACTAGCTGCCCCTCTACTCAGTTTACCCATGTCTGTTACAAAGGTTGAACTGGCGTCTACCAAATGCATACATAAATATTATAATCTACTTGCAGTATGACAATAATGAATTACCTTACCTTTGTGACATAGGAAATCAGTTTACAGTTGATCAAGTGAGAACTACCTCTTGTGCTGAATACTTTTCCGGCTTATCTATTGAACTGAAGGTACTAGGACTAGTGTGAACTAGTTGAATTGTTCACAGAGATGCGAATGTACTCTCTGTGCGAATAAGGTGCACTGTTTGAAACAGTCTTTTTGGAATTCCATGGATTGGATATACCTATCTAATCATAGCTATGGTAGAGAAAAAGGTTTTTTTTATCAAGGAGGTTAAAAACATTTGGATAATTTGAACAGCGGCCCAGAATTAGTAGGAACATGTGCCATGTGAAATTAAAGATCTATATGGCTGGGCGGTTTAATAGTAGCCGGGTAATGCTGCATGACAACAAAGTCTCATTTTGTTGATCAATATGTTAATTTATATTTTACCAGACTTTTCAGTTGTACAGCATTTGTTTGGTGTCCAGGCTAACATCTCATTATTCTCACGTTTGCACTGGAGAGCTGAATGTATTGGTAAACTGTATTTAGCTGTAACATGGAGAGGTGACAGTTGGCCAGGTCACTGATAAGAGAAACTGTAATCACATTTCCTAAGTTGCTTATCTTTTCTTATGCAACTGCGTAACTCATAATATATTTCTTTGTAGCAAATCAGAATGTGTAACCTCAGTGAATTATACCTTTATGTACCATTCTCCATAAGGCCCTGTTCACATTGAGCGGTTCGCAAATCGCACGTTTGTGGCGCGATTTGCATTTTGCGCGATATCGCGCAAATGCTTGCATTGAGCAAGCTTGAATCGCGGCTAAATCCGCTCCAAAAAGGGTCCTGCTGTAGCGACACACGACAGCAGGACCCTTTGCCCCATTGAGAAGCATTGGAGCGATATCGCGCGGTAAATTGCCGCGCGATAAATCGCTCAATGTGAACGGGGCCTAAGGGGTGTAGTTCTATGTGTACCTTTCTTCCCACAATAGCTGCAGAATTCTCATTTGGTTTTGTAACAAATCAGTAATCTTAGACTTTAAAGTTAAATCAACAAACTATAAAACATATGTTACAATGATCAATAATTTTCTGTGCCCACACAAGGGGTGTGATGTTGAGGCTCCACTTAACAGGGGGCGCAGCACATCCTGTACACAGCATATAGTCACACACTTTGGGCTCAGGTATCTGATTGCTGGGCTCCTTATACAATAAAACAGACCCATGCTAAAATAAATAGTGATAAGCTGACCATCCTGCTGACTATGGTAGGGTACAAATTTAGGCTGGTTCCTGATGACCTGGCCGAAATTCGCACAGTGGGTGCTGCTGTCAGCACCCTTCTACCCGGCATTCCTCGACCAGCTGGTTGGAAAATTATCGGCCGAACAGGGCTGGCAGCCATATGCTCGCTAATGTGCATTTTAAAGTGTGTTGATGTGTGATTCATTTTTTTTGTTTGGCCAATGAAAGTCAATTAATGTGGAGGTTGCTGGAGGTTAGTTGTCATTCGCTAAAATGCATGTTGCGTGTGCTTTCATTTGCTGCTATTAAGTCTATGGGACCAAAAACACGTGTTGATGCACCAAAAAAACACATCTGTATTAGTTTTCCAAAGTACAGCAGCACAGCACACACGTGTGAACGGGCCCCATAGGTAATCATGCCAATCTACTTGTTGTGCATTAAAACGTGTTTCCCAATGGGTGTTAAACCTCACAGGTGTGAATGGTGGCTCGGAGCCAATTTGTAACCATTGCCTAAACACCTCTTTAACATATAATGATGTAGAAACATAGCTTCCACCTATACACTTATCGCCGTTTCCCATTTTCTGTTCATTAATATAGCTGGTAGTGCCTGAGCTGGCTGACCGACCTATCAGGCGACCTGGGAGAAGGAGCCGACTAAAAATTGACAAAGATACACAGATTCAAAGCAAGATAATGCAAAAGCAGACAAGTAACCCCAATGTATTCACCCAGCCAATGGTATGTTAATAACAAAACAAATACCAAGGACAAGACAACACCTCTCAGCCATCAGTATCGTCACTTGATTTCTTCTTTCAGTATTATAAAAAGGCAAACGAGTGTATTCTTGTTTCAGGGCCCCATAACACTTCCTCACTTGACGCTTAGAACCGCGGCTTCTCTCTTTGAATCTCCAACCTATGGTGAGTATAGGCATTGATCTCCAGCTTGTTTTATTTCTGATCTCTATTGGCCCTTCTATATTAGACCAGATTAACAAAATGCTGCATTAAAGAGAACCTGTCAATTTTGTTTGTAGGGCCTTAATATCTGCCACCCTCTGCACAATAAGAATGCCTCAGTGGCCAATAAGAGCACTCATTGGATAGTGAAAAAAAGAGCTTAGTCCTGAAGTCAGGCTTCTTGCAACAGAGTGAAAACACAGAGAAGAGGGTTTTATGCATAATAAATGTACCAGCAGACATCTTGCTGCATTTCATTTCAGGCAGAACTATACAGATGAAGTCAGACGCACTTTCTTGCAGTATAAGCATCCACACAACTCACAGCACCAGTCGGAGAACACAAAGGCTAATCACAGTTCTGTAGCATTTCTTCTCTATTTACTGTGCTGGAGGAGTAAGGAGAAAGAGAAGCGCTACAGAACTGTGACTGATTTTACATGGCTGACAGGTTCACTTTAAAGTCCTTTTTATTTTGCTCACCACTGCTTATGTTACCTTTGCCCTAGAGCAATTCATGTGCCCAGAGCTGACCGCACTGTGGACTAGATGTGCTTTGTTAGAGCCACTGCAATATATCCGGGAGAGGGAGGAAGAGACCATGAGTGAGCTGGAGGTGAGAGATGGGCAGCAGACCAAACTCTAGCAGAAAACATTTTCATAAAAATTGCCAAAAATTCTGAGTGCTAAATACTGAAAGATTGCACATCTCCTTCCTCAGATGGTACGTGCAGCCACTGACTTTGGAGTCAGCATCATGCAGTCCTCAGGTGAGTCAGGCCATTACATCCATCTTTATGAGTGTGGAATCCAAGCTGTCCTCACATGAAATGTGCTGTAGCTGGACGTGGAGGTGCCACATGCATTCAACAGCTGGGAACTGTAGCTGGCATGGAGAGTGTGTTAATTTAGGAATTCATATGTTCATCTCTGAAGTAATGCTGTTCCTATTGAAGTATAAAGACAAAACAACAATTCAGTCATAATTCTGCAATTTTTAAAAAGGCAGTTTATGCCAATGCAGATGAACAAGGTGCAGCCCTTCCATATGAGGAGGTAGGGCAATATATTGCTGAATGGGCACATCATCTAAGTTATGTATGTTCACTGATGATCCTGACCAGATTTTCATATTCTTCTCATGTCCTTAACAGAATTGTCTCTTGAGGTGTCTGAAGAGGAACGCTTTAAAACCATAATATTTACTCCTGAAGAAGGAAGGTGAGATAGGCATAAGATTCAAGTAACGACTCACAACAACTACACAGCCTATAGCAGTGTTTCTCAACCTTTTTTTTAGCCATGGCACCCTTTAAAAGTTTGCAAAATCTCAGGGCACCCCAGTCCAAAATGTCAGATTTTAAGAGGGATCCCATGCAAAAAACACACAAAAAGTGAGTTTTCCCCTCCACATCGAAGTGCCCCCTTCAAATCAAGATCCCTCCTTCACAAAAGGCACCCCCCTTTTTACATCAGAAGCGCCTCTTTCATATCAGAGTCCTCCCCTTTCACATCAGATTTCCCCCTTTACATCAGGAGCCCCTTCACATCAGTTTTCACTTCCCCTTCACGTTACAGTCCCACTACCACAAAATGTTGAGGCACCCCTGAGGGAGCCAGAAGGCATACTAGTGTGCCATGGCACCCTGGTAAAGAAAGGCTGGCCTACAGGCCAAGGCTTCCAGCAGATCACTGGACACAGGGAGACAGACAGGTCCTTGAAGAAAGAAGAGCTTGTGGCCATAGGCCTTTCCAGTCTTGGTTACAAACACATGAATGGCCATCGTCATCTAATGTGCAGTTTCTGTGGAAATTTCACATGACAAATTGACCATTTTTAAAGAGTGTTAAAAATAGATTTAAAAAAACAAAACCTTAGTAACTTCAAGCTTCTTCCAGGCCATTCTTCCAGTTTCATGGCTTTTTGAGCTCCTAAACCAGAACACACCTTATCCAGGTATTATTGCTGCACTGGACAGATTAGTAATACACTTTACTGCATAGTGTGGCTGTGGGTTCTTCCATCTGAGGGTAAAGAGAATTCCCAGTATATGTGGACAGTAGCTAGTACACATTCTAACGTTTAAAGCGCATCTAAACCCAAAATAGTAATATATTGCAGCTTACCAATCCTTAGATGTGGTATCTGCATTAGTTTTCTTTTTAGTTTTTTTTTTCCACCTGGCGATCTGGCCAGTTACATACTTTCTGTCTTGCAGCAGAGCCGCCCTAGGACATAGGCATTGTCACCCTGTGGAGTGTTAGATGCACTACCAGATTTAGATGCTTTGACTAGCAAATTCAATCTCAACTTCAGCAAACAATTTTTAAGCAGTTACAGCCACAGTTTTTCCTTTTGGGATAAACATTTGACATAAATAAATAAAAGCTGACCATTTTAAACACCCATCAGTATTAAATGGTTTGTCTCAATCCTCTATCTACCACATTTTCTGGACAGCTTGTCTAGTAAAGGAAGGTAAAACATAACAGACTTACTGGCTGGATCAGCAGCTGAAAATAAAGAATAAAAAAAGACTAAACTGCAATATAATTACACTTCTGCTTTTGGGTTTACATACTGTATGCATTAGGTTCCGCAGCAGCATAGTGCTCGGGGTCACCAGGACAGGGCTGAGGTTTGACAGGTCATCACTTTATAAAGATTAATAAAATTTTAACGAAATTTAGTTTTAAGTCAAAAGGTTTTTAAGCTATTCCAGATGCGGATGAAATCACTTACAATTAATGCTGCCTCTTGCTGTTTAAAAGTTTTGGTTTCCTGCAGAATCAGCTGGTCCCCTGACACTGACTTCCTGTTTTAGTGCAACTCCTTTCCTTTGTAGGATCCTATGGAGTTACCCTTGTGTGTAATAGTAAGCTGTGTGCGTCTCCACAAAGACACAGACACAAGGCAAGGCACTCCCTCCCTCCCTCTCTTCTCCAAGCTAGAGGATGGACATATGTTGTAGACTGCTCTGTCCCTTATGACCTTGTACTGGGCAGGAAGTTCAGGGAAGCTGAGCTGAGAGAGATGAAGTAGTTCTGAAACATGATGACTAAGTTCTTGGGCAAAAATGGAAAGAAATGATTTGCTGGGCAACGTATATTTGTTTGTTCGGGATTCATTAGTGAAAAAACCGTTTGAGAGTTAAATACTACGTGTTTGGGGTTCTGTATACACTGTAAAGCTGTTTCATACATTCTCATTATCATGTTGATGGATGGAGTTGATCGTGATTATTGACTCTTTCCGTCAGTCATATAAAATACCATCTACTGCTTACACTTCTTTCTTATGAATTCTCTTACAGGGCACTGTCAGTGCAGGAAGATACATTACTACCCATAGTCTCAGAGATGCCAGAACCTATTGTGGAGATGCCTGAAACTGAAGATATTTTACTGGAAGATGTACAAAGGTATACCGTGCTGCACTATGTTCTTAGTCACATGACTACTCATATTGGATATTGATTTGTGACTTACCACAACATTCCAAATAGTTATCCACCTTAACACTCCTTTGAACTAGACCCATGTCAATTCTTAGGGGTTGATAAAAGGAGTGTATGAAGCATAAAATACAAAAACCTTCATTAAATCTCAAAAAAGAGAAATAACTTTCTAAAGTGATTGGAACTATATCCTAAACAGACAAACTTGTGCACAACGTTAACATTTGTAGTGGAGCCTCACCCAAACAATAGTAGACTAGTTCTTCAGAAATCTCTCATTAGCTTTTTTTTAGTCCAGTAACCGAGTGCTGTCCCATTACACTTCACTGGATTGAAATGTAACGAAAGTGTAGCACCTTCGTTATTCTCACTTTGTTGCAAGATAATATGTTCAGCTATTGGTTCATGTATAGAGAGTAAAAGTACAATATCTTATTTGGATCTCTGGCTGATAGTAAGGCTCCATTCACGCATCAGCTGTTTTCCGAGCGTATGTGCACCTACGAATACGTGCGGAAACTTGCTAAACATCAAAAAGAATGCATTGCAATATGCATTGTTCAGACTATTGCGGCATCCACGTGGTACGAAACCGTGCGTCCCGCAAAATCGTCCATGTGCGATTTTATGGGTGGATTCCGCATGTTCCGACTATAGTAATTGCCACAAATGCGCAGAATCCACGCATATGGTTAAAGTTTGCGCATTTTCCATGCCACTTGGCTATAGGTGAATGGAGCCTTAGTTACATTATACATCATCTATCCAGCAGACCATTTCTATTCACTTTCAATAGCAAATAAGTGAAGCATATATGAACAACATATGTCTTTCAGGCCATTTAAAAACTCAAATGTAACTAAGCTCTAATATTTCTCAAAGCTTGCCGATTCTTCTTTTTTGACTTATGCTGGTTTGGTTCTGTCATGCTCTAGGAAGCTTTACTCTCAGATTGATGGAGATGGGCGTGCAGAGTTTCTTGGCCTCACACCCCAGTCTTATCCTCGTATGTTGGTCTCCAGATTCTTTTACAATTGTCTTGGTGAGTATCTAGAATCTACTTTCAATTTCATTATCAAATTATATGTAAACATATCAAAAACCGCATGTGGTCCGTGTCCTCCCAAATCCTTACCCCTAGGATAGTCGTCTGGTAAAGATTCTATGGGGGAACCCCCATGCAAAAAACAAAGCGTTAAAAAAAAAAACCCAACAATATCATATGAAAGTTCCCTCTCCTCTCTCATCTGAAGCCTTCTTCACATCAAAATACATCACCTTATACATCAGTTCCCCCTTTAAATCACAGTCTCTCCCTTTTATATCTAAAGCCCCTCCTTTACATCAGGACCCCTTCAAATCAAGAGCCCCCCATTCACAGTAGCGTCCTTAGTCCACCTTTCACAGCAGAGTCGTCTTCAGTCCCCCTTTAGAGTGGCCAACAGCCACAGCAGAGTATTGCTGTGGCAGCATGACCGAGGGCAGGTTCACACCATTTTCCGGACCAGATCTGGTCCGGAAAATGGTGTGTACCTGCCCGCAGTTCCAGTGCATTCCTGACCAGACAAAAAGAGACCTGCAGTTTTTTTTATTTTCTGGTCTGGAACGGACTGTGCTGGTGTGAACAGAGGCCAGAAATAGCAAAGGGATACATTGGGCTGCATTTTAGGTCTGGAAACAATCTGGTCTGGATGTAGTGTGAATGGGCCCTGTGGGCAGGAGGTGATGCAGGTCTAGACAGAGGCAGACTTTTGTCCTCTTCTGTATAGATCCCACCTGCCATGGATTAGCATCATGCGTTTCCATGGTGTTGAGTGAGCTGCTTTGTCTTGATACTCCACCTTGCAGCAGGCAACACATTGTATACTTTTTCCCTTTTTATTGTGGTGGTGCAAAATACAGTAATCTATAGCAACTAAGAATTCATCAGGACTGCATTAAACTCAAATCTGATTGACTGTTATAGGTTATTACATTTCTGCATATACAGTATACCTGTCGTAGAGCCTTATTATAAGTGTCTATATGGGTAAATAAAAAAAATTACATTTACTCACCGGCCAGTTTATTAGGTACACCTCTCTAGTACTGGGTTGGACCCCCTTTTACCTTCAGCACTGTCTTAATTCTTCATGGCATAGATTCAACAAGGTGTTGGAAACATGGATTTTGGTCCATATTGGGCCCAAAGTGTGCCAAGAAAATATCCCCCACACCATCGCCACCAGCCTGAGCCGGTGATACAAGGCAGGATGGCTCCATGCTTTCATGTTGTTTACACCAAATTCTGACCCTACACTCTGAATATTGCAGCTAAAACAGACTCATCAGACCAGGCAACAGTGAAAGGCTCTGAACACATCACACACCTCTTCTCAATATCATCTATTCACAAAATATATTTTTTCAAAGAATGCAAGGCTTTCTGTGATTGGAGGAGAGATGTTGTCACATGTATTCTTGAAAAAGATACAAGACATTTCGTGAATGGGCAATAGTGAGGAGGGGTGGGTGATGTGACCAGAGCACTTCACTGCTCAAGTTGCCTCACTCAGTGCCCAGAAGCTCAGTGTTTTGTGTAGGAGACGGTATCCTGCAAGGCAAGATTTTTCTACTTTGCAGCCGCCCTCTGCAAATACCATACACCTAGTGCAGTATGTAAATTATCCTTTATTCCTGGACTTTAGCTTTAACCCCCTCCAACTGTCACTTTTGTTGGACCTCTTGGTCTGGTACAGGAAGTGGAAAACAAAAGGGGTTTACTGGCAGGATCACCAGGTATTTAACCAGTTGCCGTCCGCCCGTTGTAAAAAAACGGACGAACGGCACTGCTGCATTGGCGGGTTGCCGTCTCCAGACGGCGTTTTTTTTTTTCTGCTCGCGGGCGTGCACGGGCAGAAAAGACCCGTGCAATGCAAACACCCGTTACCGGGTGTTTCACATAGAATATCGGTGGCTCTATAGCCTGCCCATCGTCTATATGTGCTAGTTTTTCGGCCCTCCCGTCTGCTGCCACCGCTTTTTCGTCCGCGGTCTGCTGCCGCCCCTCCTGACCCCTCACCTTCAATCCCGGGATGCGCTGCCCCATCTGCGGCCCGGGACCGGCTCGGAGGGCGTCAGGAGGAAGAGGAAGGGAGATCAGCTCCTTGCTGACCTCCCTCCGGGCTGTGAATGCAGAAGTGATGTGTGTTACATCACTTCCGCATTCACCTGTCAGTCATCTGGCTGCTATAGCCAGAGAGAAGAAGCTGATGAAGCAGAGATCTGCTTCATCAGCTTCTTTTGGGGTCCACAGGTGACTTTAGGGGTCCTAGAGACCCCTAATGTCTCCATAAAGAGGACCTGTCAGTGTGCCTTTGCTATTATATAGGGAGATTGTTATCCCCCTATATAATAGCAATAACAATAAGTGCAAAAAAAAAAAAAAAAGATTTAAATGAAAAAAATAAAAGTAACAAATAAAAAAGTTTTAAAAAAACCCCCAAAATGTTTAACTCCCCCACCCCCACGTTTTCGCACATATAAACGTAAATATACGTCCGGTGCACCAGCGCGCGAAAACGACAATTGCGCTACACACGTTACATATCGCCGCGAACGTCGGAGCGAGAGCAATAATTCTAGGGCCATCAATCACTGATAACACTAAACTGATGAGCGGTAAAAGCTTTTAAAGCGTCGCCTATGGCCAATTTTGGGTATTATCGTTTTTTTGAGGTTTCGCCCGCGCACGCAATTTTAAGGCTTGACATGTTTGGTGTCTTTTTACCCGACGTGACCCCGCCTCTTATATTTTACCAACAAATTGGGTAATAATAAATGTTTTATCATTTAATATAGGGGAAACGTTTTTTGTTTTTTTAGCGGTAGCTAGTGTACTGCTGGGAAAATTCAGAGCTCCAGTAACCACTCTCCCCCACCCACCAAAGAAAAATGGGGCGTGGCTAGCAGCGGTTTCCTGCAGGGTGAGATGGTATTTAAAATTGAAAATCCTATTTCCATTTTGAGTAAGCAATCACTACCAATTTGTTTCTGAAGTATTTGCCTTTCTTGAGACTCTGCTATCACATACCATTGGATTTCACAGTGCTCTGCACACAGAAGGTTATCCGTATGGAGCAGACCAAGCCGTATGGACGTATACTCATCACATCTGGAAGACACTATAAGCAAGACTGAGGACACGTCATCATTTTCCCTGTTCTGTTCAGTTTAATCCAAAACATGTTCTTACATTTCTATTTGTACTTATGGTTTCTACGGAATAAATTGTTTTTGTCTACTAACATAAGAAGCTGAAATCCATTCTTAAACTTGACCAAAAGTCGAAAGTAAATACTGCGTATTCTTTGTGGCCTTACAACATAGAATAGAATGCAACAAATAGTGTTAAAAAAACCTATTTTTAAAAAACATTTCTGTTGCAAATTGGATCCCCACCACCACCTCCTGGTTACATGAAGTCTAAGCAGCTGTGAAGGTGCTTCTTGGGAAACCCCTAATCTTTACATTCCTTCATGGAGTTTGCTCCACTGGAATGCATGCATAATCCAGTAGAAAGGAAATACATTGTTGTAATTATGAGTAAAGCACCAGAAAGGTAATTTATCAGGTATCATGGCTGTATTAGGGCCTGTGTCGATGGCATCAGTTTGAGACCCTTCTGAGATCATACAGAATTTGTTGACAGGTGCATTTGACCTGCTTGAGGGCTTGTTCACAGAGGAGTTAGCTGCTGGAACACACTGTATCACATACCGACCAGCTTTCTGCGTTCAGGGGTAGGAGGGGGGGATACAATGAAGTCAATGGCACCGTAGCCAAGCCCCCCCCGAACACGTGGCACATCAGTGCCTGCAATCCAGTGCAATCTGAAAAAATGCTGTAAGCACTTTTTTCTGATTGCACTGGACCGGAACACAGACACTGATGTGCAACGTGTTCTAGTGCGGGCAGACGGTGTGGCTGCGTTGCCATTGACTTCAATGCACCACCACGCCCACTCCAACCGGGATGCCATACAGTGCGTTCCAGGAGTTGACCGCTCTGGAATGCATTGTTTATGGCGTGAACAAGCCCTCAAGCAGGTTTTGCATTCCTGTACACTTGTATTTGAGTGCAAAACCTTTTTCAAGCCAACAAAAGCCCATTGACAGGTCCTTATTATCAGACATCATTCTTGAGTACAGTTCTGGCTACTGCTGGTCTCTATTCAGAATTCACACATTTCCTTTAAGGCACCCAAAAAATTATTGGCAGAGACCAAAAGAGGCAACTGTATAGAGTTATAATACACCAGAGTATCCTTAGCAAATACCACTGTCTGCTGCTTTATGCTAAATTACAGAGAACATTCTAACACCTTTCGGTGGAATTGTCAGGCAAAATTTGAACCAGAGGGATCAGGGGATCTGAGAATACTAGATGCATTGGGGGGTGTCTGATAACATCAACCACCCAAGCTATATCTAGTAGGATGGAAGCTGCTTATATTCCGTGTGACCTGGAAGTGTTGGAGATCCAATCTTTTATATTCATCTAAAGGTTTTTATATAGCACAGTTCATGTTGGAGAGTTGAGTGTTGCAGAGGAGGAGATTGTGATATCTCCATAATGCAAGTTTAGACCAACTGCAAAGCTGATCATTTTTCAAGTAAGTGGATACATTGTTTGAGCTGGAGGAAGCTGAAGCGTTCGGAGAGAGGTATAGCCTAACATTACAGATGATTTCCTTTATACTTTTTTTGTTCAGTTGAACAAAAATTGCAGAATAGCCCAATGTGCCCGAAATTGGTCCTGGCTTGCCACTACATGACATCTAAGGCCGGGATGTGCATAGTGACTAAAAGAATTAAAAACACATGCAAAGCTTTAAAATAAATCAATGATTTTTATTCTAGACGGTTTTATTTGTAAAGACAATGTTTGTTGAAAGGGAAGTATACTTTCACACAACGTATACTTACCCAATTTGCCTCTTGACCTTAATTAACCCACCTTTCCCCTACTCCAGCTACTTATCCAGTTCTTACAGTAGTGACTTGCCTCAATGTTTACTTCCCATACTTGTTTGGTAGCTCCTTCTCTTATCTTCCAAACAATTCCTGACTCATAAGAAAGCCCCATAGAGGTCTCCAGTAAGCTGCTACATAGGCAAAGACAGGGGAAGAATATTTAAGCCTGAAGGGTCATGGCTACAAGAACCTAGTAAGATTGCAGGGGAGGGTGGGTTAGTTAGGGTACTTCATGTGAAAGTATACTTACCCTGTAAAGATGAGATCCATAAAATGTAATCTAATGATCACATGTAAAAGTCATGACATACGATTATCAGAGGGAAAAAAACAATGAATACATGGCGAATGGGAGTCTTTTTGGTAAGATTTGAGACATACAGTAGGTGGGGCAAGACTTGGAGAGATATTACAGGTAGCTCAAAGAGCCACATTAAGGAAACATCAATCACAAGGATAAGGTCATTATATTCCGACACTTTATACTTTACCTTACAAACACTTGTCTGAAAGCAGCGTAGTCAGGAAGCCTTTGAGCAAGTTTCAGCAGCCATTTATTGACAATCAAATAATCATCTGTAGAAGAGCCTTATATTCAATCAAAGCTTGATGAATGCCGGCTATAATTACCAATGAAGCCCATTCCATATTATGTATTGACTAGGGATGCACCGATACCATTTTTTCAAGACCAAGTACTGAGTACCGATACTTTTCCTCAAATACTCACAGATACAATTACCGATACTTTTTTTTAGTGTCATATGAGTTTTACTAAAACAGTACAGACTAATGATTTTAGAATAGTTATGGAACATCAGGGCCTGGTCCAAGCTGCAACCGATGCAACCCTGGTAGTTCCGACACTGACTCCAAGCTGTAGAGGGACTACAAATCCCAGCAATACATTACACAGCAATGCAGAATACCATCAGGCAGGTGCAGGTCTCACCAGGGCAGGTGTGGGATTCCCCAGTACTGCGTCAGGGTATCACCATAGCTGTGTGGGCAGTGGGAAAGAGGACGAGATGTCCAGTATTGGCACCGACAGCAGTATTTGTGCATCTATAGTATTGACACTGGTCCACTTCCTTGTTACTGTGTTAAAGTGACACTAAACTTAGGAGTTAAATCTTAAAAATACATTCAAGTACCTCAAACTATTAACACAAATGTATCTTATTTGGGTATCACTCGGCTGTAGATCCTCAAACCATCTCTGAATTGGTGCTGACACTGTTCTTCCTTCTGGAGGGGGGCTACTTTTGTTCCCCATGGTGCCTGTGTGTGCTGTAAAGTAGTCACCGCTCTAAGCTCGCTCCTATGATGGAATACAATCTCATGTTAGATTACGAATTTGTATTGAGATTGTAATCCATCACAGGAGTGAGCTTAGAGCGATGGCTACTTTACAAGATACACAGGGACCATGGGGAACAAAAGTAGCCCCCCTCCAGAAGGAAGGACAGTGTCAGCACCAATTCAGAGATGATTTGAGGATCTACAGCCGAGTGATACACAAATAAGATACATTTTTGTTACTAGTTTGAGGTACTTGATTGTATTTGTAAGACTTAATTCCTGAGTCTAGTGTTATTTTAGGTATAAACTGAAATTAGGTTCTGGCATACATATGGACTGACTCCCAGCAGAACACATGCTTCATATTTGATCGGGATGCTTCAATTATCATTCTTATAAACTTAATCCTCTCTAGTAGATGGTTTCCTGCTTTTTCTTTCTGTTTGTACAAATATGTGGCAAGTCTCATCATTTTTGCTCTTAATGAATATAAGGGTTATATTTGCTCTGAAATACAAGTACTGTTTTCCACACGCATCCAAGGCAGTGGCGTTACATGGGGGGTGCGGCCCGCACCCTGGGTGACACCATTGAAGGGGTGACACAAAATGACTCAGTCATTTTGGTGTCACCCCCCTCTGAAAAGTCGGGTGTTCAGTATCAGGAGAGAGGAGGGGACCCGGCGGCATACCTTATCCCGCTGGGTGACTGTCCCCTCCTCTCTCTGCTGGCGTCCATCACCAAGATGGCCGCCGGCAGGTATCAGAATACTGCCGCGCGTGCGCGATTACGTCATTGCGCACGCGCGTGGTGACGTCACGGCAGGGTGTCACTCTGTTACCGCTCCGGGTGTCACCCAGCCTCGGGACGTCCCTGATCCAAGGTACCTGGAAGTACAAAAGCTCAGGTGTTCAGGCCTTTCCATTGTTGCCCCTCACGATCCACCTTTCACGTCTGTATAAGACAGCACATAATACCAAGGCAAAGAGAACCCCTGGTATATAAACACATTGAAGATAACAAAACAAAACATGGTTTGGAACAATTTAATTCTTAGTGTACAAGAAGTGTAGAGGTACATGGGAAGTGGCAAGATGGTTGAGGAACAAACTATTCAAGAGATCTCATTAAAACATGGTAAGAAGCACCTCATGCCACGCCAAGAGCAGAGTGAAGTTTTGAAGATGCCTCAGCTGGCAGGGACACCAGTGCGTTTTGCAACTCCTGTGGAAAGTTCTGTGCCATGTTTCTCAAAAGCATAACTAGAGCTTCCTCTGTGTCTGCAAAAAGAACAACAAAGATAGAAACAACTAAATGATAAGAGAACACTGAATATCCTTAGAGAAAGTCTTCCATGTTCAGACAGTAGGAGACCTTTTTGTAATCATTAAACCTGAACTTCAGGTTGGTATAAAATCAACATTAATGAATGCAAGTGATATTAAAGTCAAAGTTTGTAAGCTATTTCTAATGCTGATTAAATGACTTACAATGGATGCTGCTCCTTGATGTTTACAAGTTTTAGGTTCTTTCAGAATCAGCTGATCCCCTGAGCACTGACCCTGATATCCTGTTTTAGGGTGACTCCTTTCCCTTGCAGGGTCTTATGAAGCCACCCTTGTTTGTGCTAGCAGCGCCCCCACCTGTGCCCTGGACTAGCTGCAAGATGAACAGCTGCTGGAGACAGTGCTCTCCCCTGTGATCTTGTACTGATCAGGAAGTGCAGGAAAGCAGATCTGAGAGAGTTGAAGCTGTTTGAAAACATGATGACTAAGTGCTTAGGGAAATATGGAAACAAATACTTTACTGGGAAATGCATAATTTGTTTGATCTAGATCCGGTAGTGAAGAAAAGTCAGGTCACCCCCTAGCTGTGTCCGTCTGCCAGGACCCTGTAAATCTCAGGACTGGGGAACAAAATGTGAATCCTTTGGCAGTTATAATATATTTTAGGGCTTGTTCACACCAATTGCGGTGCATTCCAGAGCGGTAGCTGCTGGAACGCACCGCAATCGCTCACAAAACTTCCTCCTGTGTTCTGGGGCGGGCGTGGCGGTGCATTTAAGTCAATGGCACCGCAGCCCCCCGCAGTGCGATTGGACGCGTGGCAAAGCATTGCCTGCATTCCGTTCCACTGCAAACGCAAAAAATGCTGCATGCTCTATTTTTTGCGTTTGCAATGGAACAGAACGCAGGCAATGCTTTGCCACGCGTCCAATCGCAGCTACCACTCTGGAACGCTCCGCAATTGGTGTGAACAAGCCCTTAACTGTAAAATACATAGTTAAAATACATTTTACCTGCCAAAGGATTCACATTTGGAGTTCACTTTAGTGAAGAGCTAAATAAACAGTTGAAATGTTTTACCAACCTGAAAATGAGTAATGCCGCTTACCCACTCTAATGATTCAGCCGCCCCAGCCAGATTGGACAGTGCAGGAATAGCAGCACACTGCACCCTCCCTTCCCATAAGCATTCCTGCAGAGTCCTGATCCTTGCACTTCCAGAGTAAGTACTGCTGTATGGGGGATTACAGGAAGACTGAGCTGAGATTAACCTCAAATACAGGTAATTTCTTCTCAGACATGGAGGGACACAGGAAGTCTTAAACCTTTGAATGAATCCCCTAAGATGATCCACCATCTTAGGGGATTCATGTCTTTTCTTCAGCTCTGCTCAATACTAACCTGTACTTTTACTAGCACCTTTTTTAATCTTTACTTTTTTTTTTCTTCAATTAAGACTCTCCTGTGAAACACTGCTGGAGTTTTCCATCCAATTTACAGCTATCTGTTGTGGTCTCCTTTAGCCTGCCTTTGGACAATACCTTGAACCCTCTGGACTTGACCTGCGAGGCTAACCTTGAAGTGACCTTCAGGCACTGTATTCCATGTGAGGCGCTTTTCAGGTCCAGAGACACTGACATTCCCTGGGGGTGGGCAGGACAGTCCTGTTGTTTCAGGTTCCCCCGGCTTACTTTCTGGCAACAGCATGGGGCATGACTACCAATGGCGCAGATGTCTGCAGCCTGGATTCATGATTTCTTCTTATATGCAATAACGTCTAGTATCAGCTATAGCATATACATCATTACCAGTGATGTATGTAATGATGTACTTTTCATATCAGGGGCGTAACTAGAAATCACAGGGCCCCATAGCAAAATTTTGTATGGGGACCCATGATTGCTAGTTATGCCACTTACAGAGCCCCAGCGGACAGTGACCCTGCAGAGCCAGCCATAGACTCTCTATAGTGGGCTCTGCAGGGTCTGAGATCTCTTACCTGTCAGCGCCTCTGTGGTCGCCGGGCCCTGACTCCTGTTCTGTCCCCGGGCCCCGACTCCTCTGCTATCGACGGGGCCCGCCTTCTCCATTCCGAACACCGCCCTCATCTGCCGCAGCAGCTGGCTGTCACTGACACAGCTCCGCAGCGGCTATGAGGGGAAATGCGCCGTGGCCGCTGCTGAGCTGTGTCTGTGACAGCCAGCACCCCCACATGCCATAGCGACCCAGGTGGCCCTGGCCGGGCCCCCCTGTGCCCGGGCCCCATAGCGGCCACCTGGGTTGCTATGGCGATTGTTACGCCACTGTATAGGATGCAGATGATGAAAGGAAAGTATAATAGCCTCTTAATCACGTATACCTGGTTGGATTTCCTTTGTCCCCAAAACATGACCAATTATTCTTGCAACGTCATTGATGTGTTTGACAACCTACAAAAAAGAAACACATATTAAAGTGAACCTCAAGCATACATTAACGTGAACCTGTCATCAGAAAAGTGGATAAACTAACAAAACATACTACTTGCAGGAAACAAAAGAACCTTGTAGATACCCTGGCAATGCTCTTGAACCATGGTGTGAGCCATTTGCAGATACTGATTTTTGCTCCAAGCTATAAACACACACAATGCCCCATATTCCACTGGGGGATGAAGTTGAAGGGGTGTCCCCAAACCTCAACTTAGTGCTCATATAAAGCTCATCTTATACATTACAATCAAGTTTAGATTTACCAAAACTATGTTACATGTGGACTCATCCTATGAGCTATCCAATCAATCCGTAACCAATCAGACAGACCTTTTTGTTAAATATATACAAAAGTTCTAAACGCATCTAAAAGATATCAAAACTACATTAAAAAGTTCTATAACAAACTCCATGTACCATAATTTAACCCCATGTATATGTATGGTTACATGAATATTATACAAGTACTGTGGTTAGTAAAATATAAGGGTGTATTTACCACTCTGGACACACAATCCTTGGCAACCAATCAGATGTTTACATTTTGGAAATAAATGCAAGATAGCAGCAAACTGCTTACCCTGGGGCACAGCACTATGACCTCATCATTTGTTCATGATCATAAAATGAGCCACAATTTACAAACTCCTAGCAGCAAAATGACATTGCTTTAGAATGTGAACCCTTATTCATTCCTTGATTAATGCATTGCTGGATTCTGTGTCTGGGTATCCCTGGTGTGTATATGGTATAGATACTATCACATTTTAGCTTGTAAAATAAAATACAGTACTGTGATTTGCATCTATTTTTAGCATATTTACATAGCGGGATACATTACATTGTTCAATCTATGACAAGGTAAGTTGATGGTCTAGTTCAATAAGCCAGTTTTCACGACCGCTCGGAGCTCAGCAAATCTAAATGTAATGTCTGAATCGCTGTGTAATAAAGCTGTAGCTTGCTTGAAATAGGCAAGCTCCGTACCAAGTAAAATGGTGGGCTATATTATTTTCCCTTCATGTGATTTTTAAACTGAAGACAATAAGTTCTTTGCTTTGTAGAAAGCAATGGTCTACCGCTAAATTGGCAGAATACAATTGTTTAACTGGTCCTACAAGTTCCATTGTTTATATTACCTGCAGCAAAGATGTGTTTATTTACAGTGATTGGTTAAACACCTTAACCGGTAGGACTTGAATTTCAGGGAACTGCATATTTCTATTAGCTCCCTATGCGATAGCAATAACATTACTCTGACTCACCCCTAACAAGCCCCCATTTTGATAACAGAAAAGAGATGATAGGTCCTCTTTATGAAGACACCAGGGGTCTATTAGATCCCTTATGTCACCTTTGGTCCCCAAAGACTCTGGTGAAACACAGATCATGCTTATCCAGCTTCTTCTCCGGCTACAGTAGCCAATGAAATGACAGGCTGAAATCTGAAGTGACAAAACATCAGGGGGACAGTGGATACTGCAATAGCCGGCAGTGATGGCGAATCGCACACTATGAAGCTTCATACAAGTGATCGGGCGCTGTAGATAAACACTTGTATGATAAAGCCATTAGTAGGCTGCAAAGAACGGTACCAAGATCATGGCTGCGGCTGTGATCTTGGTATAACCACTTCAGGACCTCACAGTTTATATATGTATTGCAGTCCTGAAGTGGTTAAAGAGTACCTACAGGGAGGGGACATTAATTCATAAAACACCACATAAAAAAGTTCCACTTTTATGCAGAAAACTTACAAACACAGCTGGAAATGGGAGTTGGATCACAATTCCCTACATCTGGACAGATTTTACAGTCACAAAAAGCCAAACGCCTAATCAATTTCATTCATAAAATCACTTGCTAGTTGATGAGGCCTAACTCCAGTCACAATCATTTGTTTTGGATACAGTAGAAAATAATGACAGTCAAGTTTATATTCCTTAGGAGATTTCCTATCACTGTATGTCTTTCTGGAGAGTGTCAGAAAAAAAAAAGTGGGGAAACAGTAAGAAATTAAATTCAGTTTATTAAAAGGAGTAGAGATTATTATGCGGTGACATTTCCCTCAGCTTACTGAATAAGCACTTTTCACATTGAACATGCAATCATGTCAAACACAGGAGACAGAATTTTTACTTGCACGTGATTGGACGAGTGAATTAGCATAGCTTCAACCTCATTCACTAAGCTAAGAGAAAATTCTCCTTTGTTAAGCGAGCAGCCTCTACTGGTTTTAAAAAAGTGTAAAAAGACCCCTGTCTGTGCTTTTTGTGACTCCACTGGGGAGAATTCCACTCACTTCCTGTCCAGATAATGGGCTTCAGAAAGAAAAGGACATTCAAGCTAAATAAAATTGGCTCCAGTTTGGCTTTAGATATGGTGGGTTATGTATAAGAGTTATAAAGTTGGGCAATTGATTTGCTTGTAGAACAACCAAGGAGTATAAAGTCATTCTAGATACAAGCATTACGTTTACATCCCCAACTATGGTGCTCTATCTCTTACTGCACCACCCATACACCCAGGTTCACCAACAGGCAGAGGCATCACTAGGGTTGGTGTCACCCGGGTGCGGTAAGTCATGATGTGCACTCTGCATTCACATTGCCTTTGCAGGTATTCTGGAGAAGGATGGCATTGCCCCAGCCCCTGGCAGAATGGTTCCAGTGGTTCTACTCCAACCTGTTCAGTTTTCAAACCAAAAGGGGCCATTTGGCCCATCTTGGATGCCAAGGTCCTAAATGTCTTCAATCGGGTCCAGAAATTCCATATCGCAGCGCACCAGTGTATTCTTCACTTTACTGTGGGTCCCAAGTATTTCCACTTTGCAGCCCTGCCATTCAACCTATCTTCTGCACCTTGGGTGGTCACTAAGGTGTTGGGTCCTGTACTAGCCATACTGCGCTTCCAGGGCATAAGTTTTGGTCGACAATGTAGCCCGGCCCGACTAGACCTTGCAGAGATTCAGAAGACAATGCTAGAACCAACTCATCACTTGAAAAAGCAGAGTCTTTTCCGATCATTTTTCATCCCCAGGAGAAACTTCAAACTCTCCACTCTCAGACTCGCACTCTTCAGTCCAGGAGTTGCCTGACTGTTTGTTCGACATGAGTCATAAGGCTGATGGTAACCTCCTGTGATGCAATCCCATTTGCCGAGTTCCACTCCAGACCCCTACAACACAACATCCTTCCACTATGAGACAAGTCAGTCCAGCCCATGGACAGACCAATTTGACTGGCACTGTTCTTGGCTTGGTGACCTAGGAATTTCGGCTCAGGGGTTGGGGAGGGCCTTCCTTTAGGATATCTTGGGAGATCCTCACGACCCATGCCAGCATGTCAGGCTGGGGAGGAGTCCTGGGCATCTTGTAAGTGCAGTGCATTTGGACGCAAGAGGAATCTTGTCTCTCAAATCAACATTTGGCTGAACTTCCAAATGCAAAGTAGTGTGTACTGCATCAATCAGGGCCGAAAGGACCTCCTGTAATTATGGGGTGATGGCAGGAGACTTTGGTGCCTCAAAAAAGTATCAGAGATAGACTGTGGGGACTTTGGGTCAGAGATAGTCACTGTAAATGGTGGCCAGGACTGCTCCAAAGCCTCAGGCAGATCAGAGATTAACTCTGCAGAGGAAGGCGCAGGAGCATGCTCAGTGAATTCAGCCACAAAGTGTGTGACTGCAGCATAGGCTCCTAATGACAGGGTAGGGTATGCAAGCTCACCTGATGGAGTTAAGGGAGACTCCGATAAAGTAGTTCCAATAACCATATGATGGTCAGATGGTCCAAGGTGACCAGGTCATTCTAGGCAGGCAGTAGGAAGTAATCAGAGATCATACGTCCACCTGATGCTTTGCAAAGCAGGAGCAACAGCAGCAGGAAGATTCTTCCTCTACACTGAATGGCAAGTAAGGAGAGTGCAGAGTGCTCAACATCCCACCCAGCGGATGTGAGCGCTTAAACACTTATCGGTTAACCCTTTCTACACATGAAGGTCACATTCCAGGCTAGTCCTGTCCAGTCCAGTGGAGTCCGGGTAAGGCACAACAAAGCCACAATGAGGGAAGGCCTGTTCAGGAAGTTGCATTGTAGAGACCAGCTCAAACAGTGATATATTTGTAAATATTGAAAAAAAGGCTAATTAAGATTGCTTAGACTTTTCTCGGTAGGGCTGAAGAAAAGATATCCATCTTCCTAGGACAATAGCAGAAAACTTAGGCAGGCTGGGTAGTGGAGGGGTTATCCTGGGCTGTCTACAGATTCTTCTGTTTGGCAGGGTCCAAACCTCCTGTAGGTGCCGGTATAACCTGACTATATCTACATTTCTGTGTTTCGCAAGATTTTTTTTGAAGGGTTAAAATAGTAAACAGAAAATAGGCAACCTACATATGAGACAATTCGGCTATATACAGATTGGTTTGGATGAAGCAAATAATAACCAAGAAAATAATCAACATGGTGTGGATCAATTCTTTTGACAGCACCAGTAAATTAAGGAAATGGAGCACAATAAAATAATGTGTGGGGCATGTGTGATCAGTAAGATGTTATGCTATTTAAAGTGGTGTTGAGGAATCAGCTATCCATGTATCTATTATCTAATGTTTCACAGGAAATGAAGTGATCAAGGAAATGAATGGGTCACACTGTCAGAAAAGTGCACCTAAACGGAGCTCCTTCATCCATCTTGTTATTTGTGTGGGCTCTTTAGACATAACCGCTACATAATGACATACCTGGGATGTATTTTTCTCATACAGGAATGCAATGCATTTAAACACAATACTGTTCTCATCAAAATCTTCTCTAAGCGGCAGTGAACTTAGTAGCACAGGAAATACCTAAATGGGCAGAACAAGAGGATCATTTGACGAAGGGATGGAACAAAAGTACAGATGTAATAAGGTGTAAAAAAAAAAAAGCAATTTAAACCCCAACAATGAACTTTAATTATTTGCTCCCTTTTAGCCTGCTACATATACCATTGAAGTTTTATCATATCTAGGTCTTGTCATATCTATTTAATACATGCAAAAAGAGGTAAGTAGTTCTTGAAGAGATCTTTTTGTGGGGAATTTTAATCTTGGCAAAAGAATAACTTTAAACATACATTAAATTAATTCCCCAAAAATATGTAACTGCTCTCATTTGTGCTGGAGTTCAGCTTTAATCGGAGTCAGGATCCAGGCTGAACCTTCGTGTCAACTGGGAGTGCATCTCCAGAAGTCTGTGCTGTGTAACTTCCTCCCTCTCTGTGCTTCTTGAATCACCTGTTATTGTTCCCACATCACCATATTACTGACAAAAGCTAGTGAAGTGGATTAGTGCACTATAACAATGTCTGGCTAGAATAAATATTGAGTATTAAGCAGGTAGGCTGTTGTTCCTGTATGTATTTTAAGATAAAAGCCTAAATTCACACAGCATAAACCCGGGCCATACACACAAGTATCGGTCTGATCCCGGGAGGGACAGGTGCTGTGTGTGATTGTGCGCAGCAGCCTGTTCTTCCCTATGGGAGAATGTACGGATGTGTACATTCTCTTCCCTATGGGAGAATGCACGGATGTGTACGGCCCAAGTTTACACTGTGTGAATCAGGGCTTCCTATTTCAGTTATGGCATCCATTTAAAATTGGTAATTGAATTATTTAAGCTAACTGAAAGGCAGAATAACCCACTGGCTTCATCTAATTCCTAGGGGCTCAAGTGGTGCCCGTTGGCTCTCCATTTCTTTAATACCTATACAGTCTCCATTCACTTGCTGCATCCTGGAGCCGGGGGGGGCTGGGCATTTTTACAAATATTGCTGCATTTTACGCAGTGTAAAATAAATTACAAAGTCCAAAAAAGGGACACCTCCAAACACCCTATCATAATAGTCCCAGAGGGTGGATAGCCACAGCAACAAACCCAGTAAGATTAACCTTGGTTAATTTATGTTTCAGTTTTGGGTATATGATGTATTTTAGAATCACCTGTCAAGTCTCCACGACAGGTGAATCTTACTGGGTAAATACAAGTGACAAACTACCAGGGCAAGTATCTATTTTATATAAAATCCAGCAAAATCTATACAGTTATCCAGCGCTGACCAATGAAATCTAAAGAGACTTGTGCATAGACTGTTACCTGCTCCAATGGAACTCCCTCTGGGTGACTCAACATCATCCGACTCACTGCCCCACACACATTGTCCAGAGCTTGTCCATTCTTCTCACAGCTGATTATAGATGATAATACTGAAAGCAGCTTAGGGTAATGTCTGTATGTTTGTCAAGGACAAGTGTAGTAGTTTGTCAGGAGACTGAGCACTAATTCTCATATAAAAGTGTAAGAGGCAGAAAAACAAGAAATATACAACACCCCTTAGTCATCCAACTGCAGCAAGTGTTGTGCTGATCACCAAGGAAGCAGATTATACTAATTATTACCTTCAATAAGATAGGTCTGGTCTCTTTCAAACAACTGTGACTTGTTAAGAATATAAAGTATTAGGAGGAAGCAAGAAAAGTAGAATATAAGTGTAGGATACTTGTGCATTGCGGCACCTCCATGCTCTGCCAGAACCCCCAGTCCAAACACAGAATTACTGCGAACTTCATCATCTTTGTCCTGTGCTCCGGAGATTAGTGCAGGAAGTAACTGGGGCACAAACTGTACAACTGCCTCTCTCAAACTTACTACGGACTCTGCCAGAATACCTACACCAAATGACTTTTCTGCAGGAGAACAACTAGGTTTCTGTGTAAGAGGAAAAAAAAAGGATGAAACACTTTTACACACAATACAGAAAATGACACGTGGATCAATAGATCAAAAAGTCTAGACCCTATTTAGCCAGGGACTAATAGTGCAACCTCACCCCTCAATGAATGCTGCAGGGCTAGATTTTCCATTAGGCACAGTAGTAACATGCCTAAAAGCAGCCGAGGCACAGTGGAGGTCCAATATGTTTATCTCCATTATCAGAACAAATAGTCATCTCATACAAGGTTATTTACACATTGTCAGAATAGTCTAAGCTAGGTTAGGATCAGAAAAACAAGTAACTGCTGTGTGTACTGATCCTAGCAGAGGATAGAATTATTAAGGGTGCCAAAAGTGTTGTGTTCCTACAGGCTCCAATGATAAAAATTCTGCCCTCGATAACTATGTATGCTGATATTTAATTGTATTCTCTTTTAGAGCAGTGTCAGACTGCAAAGCCCCATCTCCTGCCTAAGCTAAGGGCTGATAACTGACCTACTCTCTAGGCTGCTGGAGGAGGACACAACTGTAAAATGTATTGAAACTAGGGATGCACCGATATATCGGCCGCCGAAACATACCAGCCGAAAATGGCACTTTTGGCTAAATGCCGAAAGTGCTATTTTCCTGCCGATACATCGGCGCATCCCTGCTTTCTTTCCTCCCTCCCTGCTGGGCGCTGCCGTGTCCCAGCGGGGAGGAGAGAAAGTGTGACACCCGGCCGAGCGCTGCAGGAGAGCGCTGTGAGCAGCCGGCGTCTCTCCTTCCAGACCCCTCAGCCTCCTATCACAGTCCGGCAGAGCGGTGTGTGGGCGGAGACAGCCCGCGCTGTCACAGGAGGCTGAGCTCACCTTCTTACACCCCTCGCTCAGCCTCCTGTGACAGCAGTCAGAGGAGAGTGGGTACAAACACTCAGCGATCGCTGAGTGTTTGTAGATAATTGAGGACATAGTATGGCTACTATATCCTCAATTACGAATGAATGGGAAGTGATCTACATCACCTCCTGTTCATTCATAGTTATAGTTATAGTAAACATACCATGTCCTCATGTTATGAATGAACAGGGGCACTCAGAGGATTCTGGTTCATTGATAACAGGGGCTGCAGAATAAGAGATTGAGGACTCTGTGTCCTCAATCTGTTTTTCTATTTTAAAAAGGGAAATATCAGGGGTCTGTTTAGACCCCTAATATTTCCCCCGAAGCACCTTAAAGAATAAAAATATTAAATAAATAAATACAAATAAAATGTAAACAAAATGTGAAAAAATTAATATTTTCGGTTTCGGCCTGACAATGTTTTTATTTCGGTTTTGAAATTTCCATTTCGGTGCACCTCTAATTGAAACTTTTAAAGTGTAAACTGCCGCGCTGGAATTTTTACTCTGGAAGAGAATAGAAGAAAATATCAGAATACACAGCTATCTCTGAGAGGAAAATGTACTATTTGTCAAAGGTGCAGGTTCACTTTAATTGTTAAACTAACAACACTCTTTATGTGGCATGTTTATGTTGCAGCAAGATAACAATTAGCCACTGGTGACCTGTTCTCTTTACAATCTCTTATCATCAGGGTCAACTGTGTATATTATAGGATAAAAAATAAATGAGATAATAAATATAATTAAAAAACAAAACAATTGGTAGATGCCTTATCAACTGAAAAGGTCATAAGGCCACATTCAGAAGCTCAAGCTAAAGATCAAATCTGTGCATATGTTCCTGAAAATCAGGGGCATAAGACAACATAAAAATATACTCAGAGTGGGACATCATGTTTCCAAAGTGATAAAGATATGCTCCATGTACAAACTGTGCTGGGAAGACAAAGCATCCGTTTTCGGGTTAAACAAGCACCGATGCACTTTAGTCTCCCGATGATTTGTCAGATATACCCTCTGATATAATAGGTCTCTTAGAAATAACATTATATCTTGCTATATAAAATCATTGCTCTCACCATTTTACCGAGCAGCAATGGAAGAAAACCAGCAAAATATGGAGCAAACGTTGCACCTCCAACTGCAGCAGCTATCAGTGGAATTCCATCTCCTGCAAACTCCACCAACATGGCATCCAGTTCTGCCTGTTCATGAAAAGAAAAAGGCAACAAAATGATTATACCTGGTTATACATCTTCAGTGTGATATCATCTACATCAGTGCACCTCTGGCTGCTAAAAACAAGATTTGGAGTGAGATTATGTCGTGTCACAACTATGCTGCTCGCTGCTCACCAGAGGGCTTGCTGGAGAGAGAACAGTACCTGAGGACTTGAAGTGCAAGGATCTCTCTACGCATACCTCCCCCATTTTGTGGATGTGTATTCTGCACCACTCCTACCTGAATATTTTCACATCAGTCATCAGGGGGAAACTCTGGACATAAGGAAGAAAAGCTGCCTCTTTCAAGATTGCTGCCTCCACACAGCGACACAGTGCAGAAAGCGGGAGTCAGTAATTGGGAAAAGATCTACAGAGAGCCTACAGGCAATACTGTTGACTAGTCCTTTGCTTGCCTTTTAAATGGGCTTGACTTCCACAGTACAGGTTCTCTGAAAGTTGCCTTACTGCATACTGTGACTTCAGCAGGAAAGCAACTGGCGATGACACGAAATAGGCGGCAGCAGCGGAGGCTTCTGCATGTCACCGACACGTTTTCTGAGCATTACTCTCTACTCCATCAATTCCTTTTACACCATCATAACTTTCAAGGCATTATACAAATGGTGCAACAATAAAACAAAACCCTGCCACTGCCGCCACCAATTAACATAAAATACGGGCTGATTTCTCAGCCAGCACATTGAGATGCAGTTTACAATACATTTACAGGGCATAGTTGATGTTTCACGCAAAGCACTAAATACAACAATAAAATTGGTTGCACATGTCTGTCAGCTTGCAGGAAACTTTTTTGTTACCTGGGTATTTAACTTACAATCAGGTAAGCCAAGAAAATGAAGCTTTCTATGCACAGAGATTGAACAATAAGACATGTGATACTGGTTCCCCTGCAGTTCACTGGTCTCCCCAAGAAAACAGTAACAAAAACAGATGTGTTCACATAGGAGTGAAAGAAGAGCTTCACAAATCTTGGGCATAAACTGCAAGTAAACACAAAACCTAAAGGAGAACTATGAGGTGAGCGCTTTTCACTCTCCTCATAGTTCTAGCCGACCTGTGACAATGAGACTGTCACAGGTCGGCTCAGTAGATCGGGAGGTGAGCAAACACATACCGGCATTCGCTCACCTCTCGATCCTGTCACGGCTCTCTGCCGTGACTGGGGAGGGGCTGGATTCCCCCCTCTGATCCTCCAGCGCTGACTGGCGGAACGGACGGGGAGGGGGCGGGTACAGCTGGCTCTGCCTCTAGATAGGCAGAGCCAGCTGTTACTCACGCAGCTGGGCGGATCCAGACATAATTGTGAGCTTAGGGTGACGGGAGGACGCTAGTTTGTGTCCTCCCGTTACACTAAGGAGAACTATGGGGAAAAGCCTTAACCCCATAGTTCTCCTTTAATGGTATGTTTAGTCTACTCCGTGAACTGTTGTACATCAAAAACAATCTTCCTTTTCCCCTAAGGGCTTCTTCACACCACTTACAGTGCGTTCTAGCATGGTTAGCTGCTGGAACGCACTGTAATCGCATACTAAAACTCCCCCTGCATTCTGGGGCAGGAGGGATTTGCCTGCATTCCAGTCCAGTGCGATTGCAAAAAACTGTGCATGCAGTATTTTTTTGCGCTCGCAATGGATAGGAATGCAGGCATTTTTGTGCCACACGTTCTGGCGCTGGTGATCGCACGGTGAGCTGGGGGGTGTGGCTGCAGGGGCCATTGATTTCAATGCCACACCCCCTGCCGCTCTAAATAAACGGGGGAGTTTAGTATGCAATACAGTGCGTTCAAGCAGCTAACCATGCTGGAACGCACTGTAAGTGTGTGTGTGTGTGTGAACAAGCCCTAAACGTGCAGCCTAAGCAGACTAAACAATCCTGTAACAGAGATGCAAATATTGGCTTTTTGTTAAAAGTCAACAGTTAAGCTCTCAACTCTAACAACTCCCAAGGCTGCTAACGTATGCAGGAAAAATAGTGAGGGCAGAGTAGCCTGAGCTTGTAATAACAGCCAGCCTACCTTCTCTGTGATGTGTGAGAAGCAATGCAATAGTACCCAACAACACAATAATAGTCTCCAGGGGGCACAAATTTTGTTCACGGATTATGAACTGGTTTGTTGTTTATAAATTATAAATATCAGATTAGGTAGCAGTTTCTCTAAACATTGTCAAAAGAACAGGTTGCTTTAGGGCTCATACCACAGCCATTGTGCCGCTGTCGGCAGAGGTGGCCAACACAAACACAACGCAAAGAAAAGGCAAACAGCCTTGGTTTTCATAAGTGCAGTTGACACCTGTGTAATGCTTTGTGCTAAGCTGTGTTAAAATGATTCAGGCATCATTCTACTGCAGTGCAATGTGCCACAATGCCAGTTTTGCGAAACCATCCTAAACCATGAGGATCATGCAAGAAAGGTGCACTATCATAAATATCACACAAGATGCCTGTCATGGCAAATGTGAGGATTGGCCTTGGTGCCACAGATCAATAGGGGCAAAAAATTAAATAAAAAGAAGTGCAAATGATTGAGGCATAATATTAGAACCATTCAGAATTTTTGGTGGTGAGAAATATAATATATATAAAAATAAATATAAGACACATAAAACTTTCAGCCAATAAATTTTTTTTATAGCGTTCGTAAAACAAAAAGGGCCAAATCACATAAGACAGTTCAGTGGGTGTGCCACTAATAGACAATCTCTGATCTGTAGGCGTTTCTACAGACAGCCCTGGGGAGTGAGACAACCCATACCTAGCTGATCTACCTGCTCTACAGGTTAATTACCTTAAGAGCAAATATACAAACAGAAGAAAAGAAAGCTTGCAGTGAAGGCACAGTCAGAAGAGCTCCTAGTGACAAACAGGCTAGGTGACTGATAGAAAGAGTTCATTAATTCTCCACAGACTTCAAAACTGTTGATCAAACATCTAAGAGGTGAAAGGGAGCGGAGTAGTGAGAAAGAACAAGACAAGCAAGTCTATTACGAAAAAAAAAAAGAAGAAATCTGGTGACCAACTGAACTGATGATAGCACCTGCCGCTTTTAAAGATGGCCAGGAAGTGATGACAGGCTGCTAAATGCTGTGCAATAATATATCAGGCAGTGCACATGATCTATGAAAGCACACTTCACAAATATGGGTATAGTAGAGATTATCCTGTGCCTGCTGGCTGGAAAATGCTTCTTCAATTTTCTGCCATTCCTGTGTCTACGAAAAGTTCACAACCAAGCGTCTATCATCTCGCTGCTCATCCTCATGGTAACCGACACAGTGATCACAGGTGAGACTTTCACATGCCGTCTCTTTATTCTACTGATATGCAAGAAAAACTAATCTCTTCACTGAAGTATTCATGGGAAAAAAAACAGTTCTGATTCTAAGGCACGATAGTAACAAATGTAAAATTTCCACCGCTTATAGAACTTGCACTATTTTTTTTTCCATTCTCACACTATGAGTGTAAAAAAATGAAGTTAGTCTGAAAAAAGGAAAAAAAATAATTGTTGCATACATAAACTGATTAATTCATAGAGAATTGTAAATCAACAGACAAAACTTATGAAGTAGGCAAAAAAAGGTTGATCTGTTCTTATTTAATCTTAAAAATGCATTCAACTATTAACAAAAAAATGTATCTTATTTGTGTATAACTCGGCTGTAGATCCTCAAATCATCTCTGATTTCTCTCATGCTGACACTGTCCTTCCTTCTGGAGCGTGGCTACTTTTGTTCCTCATGGTCTCTGTGTGTGTTGTAAAGTAGTCACCACTCCAAGCTCCCTCCTGTGATGGACTACAATCCCAATACAAATTAGTAAACTAAATGTAAAAAAGATTGGATTTTGATTGGAATAATCTGTCCTCCTAAGGGCTACTCCATACTCCTAGACTAAATGTTATGATTTCACAAGGATTGATGCATGTTTTTCAGCTTTATTAGAAAGCCTCCATGTAATGTTGCTAACATGTCCAGTGCTATTATTGTTTAGCTACCACTAGCTTATTTGAAATAAAGAGTCATAAAAATTTGGATGGCAATACTATTACAGATTTCAGTGGTATTATTTTCTGACTTGTTAAATACAAGCGTCAACCCTGTTGCATCTTGCCAGCTAACTATAGCATTCTTTACTTTATTTTTGATTATCTATTTCAATATGTCCCGTAGCAACAGATCACTTTGGACTTCGACTATGCAGCTACCTTTATTGATCAAAGCTTAGCTCTCTTCTTACAAAATACCAGCTGCTCAATTTAGTCCGTAACAAAATTAAAGGGACACAATGATCAGAGTATATTTATGCAACTATTTCAGAACAATTATTGATGTGTTTTCAGCGTTTTGCATAATGTATTGATTGGAGTGCTGCACATATTGGAGTGCTGCAACCACCAGCACCATAAAAATGTAGTTGCACTTTTGTGTTAGCAGCTCTAAATTATAGAATTTTGTTGTGAACATCACATTATTATATTTTCACTAGAGTAGCACAGGGATTTTACACTTTTTTTTTTTTTAGTACAATGCTGCTGTAAATCAGACATCGTGTCATGCCTGTGAGTTATGGCTCACAAGTGGCTTGCACTTTGGAAGCAACTATTATGTGCCCTGCCCTCATAATAAATCAAGAAAATGTGTGTGAAAGAACTGAGGAATCAGCCCCCTGGGAAAACAGCACTTGTCATAAGGCCATAAAATATGTGAATCT